AGTGCGGGAGGGGGGGGGGAGTTTCTGGAATTGTGGTGAAAAAAAAAAATAACAAGAGAACAATTCAACAAACTACTTGCACTTTGTTGCACCAACCTCTGGCTTGTCTAACAGAGGAATAGACTTAGTGAGTGTTAAAGAGTAGCCTACTCTTCAACAATTTGCCTCTAACTTTCTTGGATTGCCTTTGCCAGATCAGCTTTGCAGGTCATGGAACAGTTTTTCAACTTCCAAAGATTTTCAATTAGATTGGGATCCAATGTTTGACCTTAAATGTCATTCTTCATGGAATATTTTCACAGCTTTTGTGCTGTGGCGAGATGTGTTATCTTGGAAAATGATTTCACTGTGCCCAAACATCCTTTCAATCGATGGGAGAAAGACAGCGTCCCAAACGTCAGCGTCAAACTTGTGCATTTATTGCAGATGTCATTATAGCAATCTCACTGTGCCTTTAACCGAAATGCAGCTCCATCTCATCACTGGCTGTGGAAATTTGCAGCTTTTCTTCAGGCAGTCATTCGTCTTCATCACTCATTGGAATGGTGCCAAACAGAAGTTGCAACATCGTCACCTTACCCAATGCAGAGTGGCCACTCATCCACAGTCCACCGTTGCTTTTTCCTCGGACCGTTTTCTTTCGTAAGTGTTCATGCTGGCTTTTGTTGAGCTTTATTTTGTATGCAAACCCCATTTCCACGAGGCGCTTTCTTACAGCTCGGTCACAGACGTTGATGCTAGTTTCCTCCCATTTCTTTGGTTGTGCATTTTCTGTTTTCAAAGTTTTCTGTCTTGATGCTTTGATGTCTTCATTGGTCTCCCACCAATATGCTTGCCTTGAACATTCCCATGTTTTTTGGAATTGGTCCAGATTTTAGACTCCGCTCACTGTGAACAGCCAACATATGTTGCAGCATTGCGTGGCTGCTGATTTACCTTCTTGAAGAATGGGATCATCCTGTCTTTTGGTTCCGTTGGCATCTCTCACGTTGAAGCCATGATTCATGTCAGTCCACTTGGTGCGACAGCTCGACATGGCGTGAGCAGTCCTGTTTAACTGCAGACTAACAAGCAGATCTACTGTAGACTGAATGATGCAGGTGTTAATTTTGGCAATAGAAATTTACAGTGATTACATACTTTTTTCACCCCCTTAGAAGTTAGTAATTGCATACATTTTCACTCTGTTTGGTGTAAAAATGTTACTGTTACAGATTACATTATTTTCTTGATTTCATTTAGTGTTTTTTTCAAATCATGAAGTGGCAACTTGAAATGACTAATCGGTAGTTTTGTGTGACGTCTGGATCAGCTTTTTTCTGCCTCACAAATTTATACTGAATAAAAATCCTCTGAGACTGGGGATTCCTTAATTTTTTGGCAGGGATACATTTTTGACGGGATGACCTGGTCCACTGTATTTTTTTATTATTTTTTTTAGGTACAATATTATCAACTGCTATTGTCCATGGCTATTTGGCAGTACTCCCGCTACTGCCAAACTATCTATCCATCCATCCATTTTCTAATCCACTTATCCTTAAAAAGGTCGCGGGCATGCTGGAGCCCATTCCAGCTGCCCCTCGGGCGAACCGGTTGCCTGCCATTCGCAGTAGTCCCAAACTATTTCGGCGAATTTGTTGAAAAACAGATGAAAAGTGTACTGAGTAAAAGTGCACTAGCCTGTCTCTCAACACACCTTACATGTGGAACTTCCTCAGAGTTCAACCAGCCACCAGATGTGCACAAATGCAACAACATTTGCGTTCATTTCCTTTTTTTGCAGAGGAAACAATGCAAAACAAACCCGAAAGAAAATAAGCTTGATTAAGACATCCAACGAAACAAAACAAGAAATGCAAACCCAAATCTAGCCAGAGAAATTAATCAAGGGGCGGCCTTTTCTTGAACTGACTTCAGAGGACGGGAGAGGAAAAAAAAAGAAGAAAAAAAAATCGGATGAGGAAATGGACAATGGACAAGGAAGAGTGACGGAAGAGAGGCGGCAGGCAGCATGGTGTAGACGTGAGGAGAGAAAGTCAGTCCTGCAAGTTCGAGTTGAATTTTTATCTGACAATTGCATCGAAGAAGGGAAAGCGTGGGCCCCATCGAGAGTGCAGCTGTGGATGGGTGCCGCTAAAAGACAGTCCAAAATAAGTCTTTCTTCTTTAGCTGATTAAAAGAAGTCTAACCAGAAGGGTGGAAGTCAAAAGTATCCACCACAGATCACTCCAATGTTTTTGTTACAATGTGCACAACAATTAAAAAAAAAAAAAAAGAAAGAAAAAAAAAAGTCAACCAAAACACTAAAAACAAGACAATTGTTTATTGGGTTTTGCTGTTAAAACGACAACAGTGTTTCAAAGTAAACATTGAGCACTATTTGGCAATCTTTGAGAAGAACTCTAAAGATTTGGTGTTCCAGCTGTATCACAACCAACAGTTTCACAACTGATATGTGGGGTTAAGACTCCTGTGACCCTGTGATGTGAAGCTCCTCCAATGGCCTGACATATGATTTAAATCAGATTCAACAATATTGTGTTCCTACTTATTTACAAAGAGAAAAGGAGCGTGAGCCCTCAGCGATCCACGCAAACGATTTACAAGTCTGTGGTCAATCAATCAAAAAGGGCTGCTAAGACCGCACAGTCGGAAGAACTTGACATGCACTGCCCCCTGCTGATCAGTCCAACGTCTCATAACTTGATACAGCGGAGAAATGCCACAGCTGACGAGAGGATGATCGTTTGTGCATTAACAGCTGATCAAGATGTAACGGAAGTTATCGAAAAGTTGAAACTGACTTCATGAAAAACAACCACACAAACCAAAACACATTCACACCTACGAGAGGCAGTCGAGATAAACACAATTAAAAAAAATCACTTTTACAAGTTAGTGTGCTTTAACATATTGCACTTCCCCAACAAAATAACAAAATAATTCACAGTATGGTCGGTCGAAGTCACATGATCCCCCTGACGGGATTTCACTTGGCTTTCAATACGTAAGACACAAGTGTAAAGCATTCCTTTTGTGCATTTTTCTAAGTCAGAGTTTGACTTTGTAAACTTAGTCCCGCCCCACCCCCCCAAAAAATTCAAAAGACAAAATGTAAAGCAGCTCAGACTCTTTAGCCCTCAGACTACACAAGATACCCCGTCATCCCATTTCCCCTGCGCAACTTCCCACTCACCGACCAACTGTACAGCAGTCCAAGCTGCACCACATGAGTCCTATTTCAACTCTTAAAATAGTGGAACATCCTTCGAGAAGAAAGTGTCGGTAAGTTTCCGAGAAGATGAGAGCGAGCAATCCATCAATCTGGAGCAGGAAGAGGAAATGGTCTCACAGCTACAGCATAACACTTGAAAATAGCTTTGCTGACTTTTACGTGTTTCAGAAGCCATCATCTCGGCTCCTCTTTTGGGGCTTCACTGCCCATGAAATATGGCTTTGATTCACATTGGGCCCCCGCCCCCTGAGCCATAACCACGTCTCTGGTTAAACCTGCTGGGGCTGTCATTATGCTCATGTGAACGCACATGCCTTGAGATTTTGGTCATCGAACATCTGCGCAGACCACCCACTGCACACAGTCAAGTGGCCGCATCTCCCTTGGCCCTTTGCGCCGTACAAGCTTTGTAGCCAATGACGATGACAATGCACTTCACAGGTGCGTTTGTCACTCAATGCTTTAAAAAAACAAAACATGACGACAAGGGAGAGGTCACTGGATTTTGGACAGTCCGCTTGCCAGGAGAAGTCTGAACGGGACAGTGGAGCGTGAGACAGTTAAGGGCAGTCGGTGGAGACCTGCAAAGGCAGACGATGAAATTAAATTGAGCACAATTGCAGGGTGGAGTGCTAAAACCAGGGAAAATAGTGGTTAAGGTGAAGCCAGAGTCAATTAATCATGGAACAAAAGTGAGCTGGGAGGCAATGGGAAAGAATAAGTGAGGTGGCCTTAGCATAGAGATGCTATCTAAACTGTAAAGAAGGGGGACTGCATGTGTGTGTGTGTGTGTGTGTGTGTGTGTGTTTGTGTGCGCGCGCGCTTGCTTGCTTTGAGGGCTTGTTTATGTTGGGCGGAGGGTTCGTGGCTGTGTGTGCTGCGAGGGGGTCTAGGGCGGTGGGCCTGAAGGTCCCCCGAGGGGATCCAACTCTCCTCCTGTCCTTTGACACTTTCCTGTATGAATTGTATTCTTTCTATCTGAGGAAAAGCGGCCAGCCCACAGGGAAATGGGGCCCACGCTGGAAAACTCTTGACGGCTATCCAAGTGCAGTCAATTTCAGCTCAAAGCGCTCACGCCATTCAAATATGCTGTCATTTTGACTTGCAAAGCCACAGAAATAAAAGAATACCGACCAAATGCACGGATGAGTTCCCTCTGCACAGCCCACGTGACCGTCTTGATCAGAGAGGCAGAGGTGAGGCCAGCAAACAGCATGTTGTACAGGAATACAACGTAGAAGTTCCCAAGCCAGTTGTAGCGACCAAAGTCTCCCAACAGGTCAAAGCGCGTGATCCCTAAGACCACAAGACAGTAATACAAGTGAACGACGCCAACACTCAAGTTCGCCTCCACAGGTAGCAAAGGCTGCAAACGCCCTCTTGTGGCCGTTATTTAACTACAACTGCAAATTGCTGACTGTTTCCTTCCATCCTTACCAAGTGTCCGTGAAAAGACTGGAAGTGCTGAGCTCAGGATGAGAAGAGACACACAGTTGGCAATCATCTAAAGGGAACAGAAAAATACAATTGTTTTCATGTTTTACATGCCCATGAGCTGTTAATGTAGTATAGTCAGAAGATGAAAGAAAAGTCAAGTCATGGGGAATTGGGCTGAATTTACACGACTTGGTTCAAGTGGCAATTCCTATTGTTTGTTCACGATCCATGACATACACATACATGTGCAGACCCAAACGGCACAGACAAAACTCCGGAGAACGCACAGACCACTGAAATTTGCTAGGGCAGCAGTTGTACCTATAGAAAGTAACTGCCAGGTTGATCAGTGGATGCAACATTTGTCTTCTTCAAAGTCCCCGTGAGGTGAAAATAAACATGGCATCTAAATTCATCACACCATAGAGAAGAGTGTTGATAACACCTAGCAAATTGGAATGATTAAAGAAAATAAAGTATACGAACTGAAGCTTTAAAATGGTGGTGGTGCCCCCCCTCCCCCTCAAATGCTGTGGTCGTGTCCACTGAAAGTGCCGAAATCAACTTCCAACCAAGCACCTCGACTGCAACCTAGGAAAATTGATGCTAATTTATCATCTTATTCCTACTTGTTGGGCTATGAAAACATATCCACTTAAAGCCTCTATCTAGGACAGGGGTGCCCATTATGTCGATCCTGATCTACCGGTAGATCTAAGACAGGTCCCAAGTAGATCCGAGGAGCGTCGAGGAGAAAAAAAACAACCATTTGTGTGTCTTTGTACATGTTAGTAATATATTTTTGTACATGTTAGTAACATATATTTTTTGTGTTAATGTACGCTGCACCCTAATCATCCTATCAGTCTCCGGAAGTTGTTAGCGCTCAGCAGTCTGCAATTGCAGCTTGTGATCAGAGCTGTTGCGCTCTATCCTTTATCGTCATGATTCTCATTCAGAGTTTGCTTCGTGTACAATTCACCGAGGGCACGGGCAAAGAATAGGAATCTAGGAGGGCCCAGGGAAGCACTTTAAAACTTTAAAACGGTACGTGTGAGCTACGATAGTTAACAGGCCGCAAAAGTGCATCGCATGCCTCAGTTTCAAGCTGTTTCTCATCATGGCGTGTGTGTGTGTGTGTGTGTGTGCGTGTGCGTGCGTGCGTGTGTGTGCGTGCGTGCGTGCGTGTGCCGGTAAGGGTAGATCCCGGGAGGTTAGTTGATCGAAAAGTATATCTTCGGTCCAAAAAGTTTGGGCACCCCTGATCTAGGATATATTCCACCAAGTCATCTCATGGCTTGCTGTGACAATGAGGCGCTCTGAAGCTAGCTAACTAACTGCAGGTCATGTGCACTGGATAATCGCTTATGTGGAGCACAAGTTCTGAAAAAGTGGGGATTCATGCCGGCGTCCAACTGAGCCTAATTTTACCCACGCGCAAAAATCAAAACAAACAAAAGAAACCAGAAAACAAAAAAGCTTAACGCTATATCTCTAGAATTGACTGCTACATAGTTCTCAGTCTTTGCACGTTTTAAGCAATTATCTTCAAACAGGTACCATATTTTGAAACAAATCTATTAATTGACTTAAGTGCAGTTTTTGCGTGTATTTTGGCATAGTGGATTGTGGAGATACCTGTGTGAGGTTAGTGTCTTGTGCACGAGGTACCAAGCTGGTGAAGAGGGGAGAGCTATAGAATCCTACAACTGATGAAACCATTAAATAGCTGTCAGTCATTATGAAGGACAACACAGAATTGTTTCAGTAAGTTTTTTCGAGGGCGATAGCCCCACACATACATCACTAAACACAGAATAGCCTGCTGGACAATCACAGTGCCATTGCACTGAAAGGATACAGTATAAGGACAACTTGAACTGCTGCACCCAGTGAACCAAACATTGAGAAGGAGGCCATCCCAAGGTGAGGGTCCTGAATGGACAAAAAAAACAAAAAAAAAAAAACAGCTGGAGATGAAGAGACCCACAGCACTTGCTGCAAAAACCTCTCACAAAATCCTTACTTCCATTCCTCTGGGCATCGCTGTCTCGTCAAGGAGTAGCTCCAGCACATTGAAACACACCATCAGAACACACAGCACCTGAAGACACACAAATATTTCCAAAGGCCTCATTGGCTGCCTGAAAGACTGACTTCAATCAGCCTGGGAGAACATTGTGAATAATTACGGTGAGGGCGAGGAGCATAAGCATGGCCAGCGGATAGCCCAAGTTTCTCTGCCAGGGCGACGCTTTCCTTCGCTTCTCTGTCAAGGCCGAAAGAAGAAAACAGTTAAGAAAACAATGACTATACCTTGTGAACACCGTTGGAGAAGTGAAACGCACCCAAGGCGATACGCTTTGTTTGGACCGCTTGATGCTCTTTCTTCATTGCTTCAATGTTCAGCTTGACCCAGCAGGACTGAGAACTGCCACCTCGACCCAGACAAAACATCACCTTGAAACTTAAACAAAAACCAAGAAGGTTCACAGTCTACTCACACTTCAATTTCCTGTAAAGTGAGTCCTCCTCCAGTGTGGTGCAGCTGAGAGCATCGTCGACATCTTCAAACAGCTGAGTGAGAGCAGACAAACATCAGTTCAAAAAAAAAAAAAATAATGCACTGTGCACACTGATCTTTGCTTTGCCATCCCTGATCCTGGCTACCAGTACCACTATACATGTTGAGTAAGCTCACACATCAAACTAATGCGTGAGCTGGATGAATCAGTGAAGAATTCATATGATATTGCAGTACTGTCCCAAATATTCCAATTTGACTTTCTTTTAAGGGTCATTGGGCATTATGGTTCAGAGTGCACATCATATTAAAAAAAGATAAAAATAGTTCGAAATTCTGAGAATGGACATTTGTACGGTGACCCTAAACTGCAAAACACAACAACAAATAAAAGCAATGTGGTGCCTCACTGAATATCAAGTACGTCACTCACTTGTGGTTTGACCAACAGGCGGCCTGTTACACTGAACATGCGAGACAACCCAAAAGGTGTGCACACTGAGGAGAACAAATTCACAGACAATATGATAAAGCATCAACAATGTCGAATGGTCTCGAATGCACGAGGGAGACCTACGCAGGAGCAGCAGCACTCCAAAGAGAGAGATGCCCGAGTATAAGTAGGGAAGGTAATACTCCCAAAGATCTGCAATTGACAAGCACACACAGGCAGACGTTTGTGTCAAAAAGTTCTCAAGTGTATCAATATACAGGTGACCGACCATAGAGGCTCTTCCTGGCCAGGTTGTCGTGCAGAAGGGCTGATGCCACCCACACAATGCCCAACACCAGGAGGGCTAACAGCAACAACAGGACAACTGCTTCATATACTCGTGCCATCACTCCCTGCACACACAAACAAAACGTGTATTCAAGTCCAGATGCCAAAGAGCACGCTTTACTCAAAAGGTTGATGATTACCTTTTTGGATCCTACAAATCCCTCAGACTCAGTGAAGAAGTACGCAAACGGCATGAGGAAGACCAGGGACAAATTAGAGAAAAGGAAAACGAGGTTCCACAACCCTGACAAAAGAGAAGAAATGTTTCTAGTTTGTTGAGGCTTTCATTGCAGTTCCAGAGTACACCACTAGGCGGCAGTATTTTTCAACTCCTTGTAACTCGTCAAGCATGCATCATGCTTTCAAAAATGAAGAGAAACATTTTGGGGTACAGTGCAAGGTACACTATGTTAAAACAATCTCAGACATGAATCACTTGAGGTAGTCCCTTAAAAAGTCACTTAGTGACACTTTCTGATGCTTTGGAAAGTTAAGATACGAATACAAAAATGTACCATGGATCAGAGAGCCATTGAGCCATTGCATGTAGTAGCTGTGTGGGAAGGTGAGCAGGACCTCATTGGACAAAATCGAGATGGGCAGAAGCAGCACGGCACACACAGCAACGGAGAGCGTGAATGTACACAGCCACAGCCTGGAGGAGGAGACCAGAGGGACTGTTTGACAAAAGTCATACTCAAACGAAAGTCACATTTTTGTTTGTTTTTAACACTGGTCTGGGACAGCAGCTTTGGTAAAAGTCCAAGGTGATCCGCAGGAGGTAAGACGACAGTGCCAGCGTGTAGGGACAAAGGGCAAAGGGATACTGGACTGTTCCTATCACAATCAGCAGCCACACACTCAACAAGGCAATAAAGTTGGAGCTCAGCGCACTGCGTGTGTCTCTGTTCATTCACAGTGCATGACGCCAATCAACGTGAGTGAGGGAAAACAGATTGCCCCAAGTCAGTTAATCATTACGAGCTTTTCACTTACGCAATTCTGTTGACTGTAGCATCCTCAATATCATCTGAAAGAGAGCAAGCAATACCTTTCATTATTTTTCCATTGAGAACAACATGCTTCTGAGTTTAAAGAGGTCATTTTTAATGGAATTACATTATCCAACCATCCATCCATCCATTTTCTAATCCGATTATCCTCACAAGGGTCGCGGGCATACTGGAGCCTATCCCAGCCGACTTCGGGCAGTAGGCAGGGGAGACCCTGAACCGGTTGCCAGCTAATCGCAGGGCACACAGACGAACAGCCATTCGCACTGACACTCACACCTAGGGACAGTTTAGAATGTTCCATTAACCTGCCATGCATATTTTAGGAATGTGGGAGGAAACCGGCGTACCCGGTGAAAACTCACGCAGGCAGGGGAGAACATGCAAACTCCACATGGGAAGGCCGGAGCCGAATTCGAACCCTGCACCTCTCCACTGTGAGGGGGACGTGTAACTAGTCGACTACCGTAATTACATTGCAAACAAATGCAAACTCTGAAGGAGTGTGAACTCCAACCTCATGTATGCCTAGCAGAGGCACGGTATAGTAGAAGCGTTCATAGAAGAATGGTGTGTGTGTGTGTGAAGGATGGGGGTAAAAATTTGTCACTGGCCTCAGCGGGCATGAGGGAGGGGTTCTGAAACATTGTGTACAAGTATGATTGGAGTCTCCGGTAAAAAATGATTTATTATGAAAAAAAAGACAAAGTGAGTCGCTGAGAATGCCATCTCTTCAAAGAGGATGGAGAATATTATATTGAAAAACTTTGTTTCACATCGTGAAATGACAGCAACTAAAAGCTACCTTGTATGACAGTAAATACGGCTGCAGACCCAAAAACAAGTTCTTTGCTCCTCAATTCCACAAACAATTTGAGCTGAGAGCATAGCGTTGCACTGCTTAAGTGCTACTTCAATGCAGGGCTATCCTGCTCTTGCATGCAGACAGTTATCCACGGCTCGTAATGAAGTCCAGCCAGCCACAGCAAAGCAAAGCCTGGTGGATATCCTCATCTGCTTTCAATGAAGGCAAGTTATCGAAATGGTTATGTAACCACCAGGCCCGGACAGCCAAAGAAATTGAATCAGGATATTTGCACTTTTGACAACCAAAACTAACATGCTAGCATAGTGCACATTCTAGTCAAGCAACAACATTCCTTGAAACAATTAGACATTGCACACGTGAGAAAAGGTACCTGCAAAAATATTGAATTAAACAGAACAGGTCGACCTGTTTCTCTGCTAATTTTTCACTCTAATGTAAAACGTTAAAAGGCACAAACACGCGACAGTTTGTTCACAAGTGACGAGTTTATGAGCTAGCATGAGATGCTAACAAAGCAAACTACGTCTTCACTCTGGGGCATATTTTCCCATTTGTGCTTACTGTAAGTTCATTCCTTACGGGCCTTTCAAGATGCAGCAATTCTCCCGTCAAGGCTTCCTACACACCCACCATGCCGAACTTGGGAAGCCGCGAGCCGCCACCAAAGAGGCTTCACCCACTGAATTCTGATGAGCCATTCAAGTCCCGAATGGTGGAGATTTCCTGACAGATGTGAATTCCCCCGCAAAAAACGTCACACTTAAAACATTAAATTAACTTGCCCAGTAGATCTGGAAGTAAGACTGATCATCACCAGAGATGTGCGTGCGGCTCATCAAACAGAAACAAGCATTTCTAATTGCATTCTGTATTTGAGAAATACAATAATAGTCATTTCATCAGAGTACTACTGTATGTTCATTCTGGACCGCATATCTGCATCAGTAGAAAAGCGAGTGAGCTGGTCGCTGATTAAGCATTGCTTAGCAACCTCTATGGATTACACAAGAGGCACATCCATCGATGAAATAAAAACAAATGATTCCAATGGCTACCATTACAATGACAGCACTGTTGAGAATTTGAGAGGGAACGCCCTCATTTCAAGAGTGCGTACATTTTATGAAGGTGTCTAAGTGACACATTTAAGTCGATGGGAGAACTCGCACAGCCCATAAAGTGCGCAGCGGCATCACGCCTTTTCCGACTTTGAAGCACACAAGAGAAGACGCCCTTTAGTGCGCTGCGCTCCCTCATCAAACTTCACAACAGGGGAAGTCCAATGCATAACATTAGCTCAGAATTCAATCAAACCATTAACTAACTAAACTTCAAAGTAGAAACTTCGCAAAGTTAGACTGGTAAGAGTGCCAAACAATACACCACAGATCCAAAGCTTGTGTTCATCATTTCTGGCAATCATGACACTTGAATCACTGACGGATGCTGGACAAAAGTTTTCACCTTTGTGTTTTGGTTGTTGAAAAGTTGTCGAGTATGCTTTGGTCAGTGTAAGACGACCCCAAAGTTACAAGTCAACAACATTCTTCACCACCCCTTCCTTTTCTTGATCCACTGGGATATCGCCTGGAGTCAAAGCTGCATAACACCAAACATTCCTTCTGAACCTTCAGTGTTCTGTCCACACGTTCAGCCATGACACTGTGTATACATGGGTTGCAATCGTTGCAAATTCCTACAAGTAATCATTTAACACTGTATAGGAAAAGAATAATGGGTATGGTTGTTGTTTTTTTTTATTCTTTTAAAATGTTCTGTGCCTGATGAAGGTGTTATATTGGAGATAGTGAACACTGTGCTTGCTTGAAAAGAGTGACCTTCAGATTTAGCATAAAAAGTCATACCAACTTTTTTGTCCAACCATCATTTTACTCTTGCACTTCTCAACTTCATGAATGCGTATATCGCCTTTGCATTGCCCGTCAAAATAGCGTTTTAAAACAGCTTTTTCACTTGTCGATGGACCCTGCGAATGGAATCCACGCAGAACGAAGGCCAAAAAGTAAACCACAAATTTCCCTGCTTTAGATGTGCAACAGTGGCTGTGTGAAACGGTAAAAATTGGAAAGCCAGGCCTGAGGCGTCAAAATTGTTTGAGTTCTAACAAGGTTATTAGAATGAGAAGAACACGATATTTTCAGTCGGCGATACAATGAAATAGCTGATTAATTGCTCTCATGTATTTGATGATACATAATTATGGTAGGTGTTCCAAGAGAACTCCATGTAGTTGGAAACAGGTCGTGTCAAAAGGACTCATTTAGGTTGTTAAACACCCAGATTGTCTTCTAATAAATGACCCACACTCGGGTCCATGCGGTCAGGGTAGGTAGGCAGGTGAGGCAGTGCCGCCCCCTGCATGTGAAGAGCAAAAATTAACAAACAAAAAAAATAACTTATTCCATTATATTATGTTAGAGTTTAGCTCTATGGTCCATTGTTTTTACTGACTTCCTTTCCCAATCCAAAAATGATCATTGATTTCAACATTAAAATAGCTGAAGGGGCATATTTTCGGTTCAAATACATGGGCTCAAGAGAAGTGATCGTCATAAGACCAAATTATATATATATATTTTTTTTTTAGAAAAGAGAGATCGGACAACAAGACCAACAACAAAAAAAACAAGCCAACACATGAACTCTCTGGTACGTGTTCTAACGGTAAGGCTTTACTGTAGGGGGAGAGGAGAGATTTCCGATTAGCATTGGATCCCCTCCCCCACAGATGGGGAATGCTTCGCAGACTGGCCTAACTCCAATGTGGATACACAGCTCAAAGGCTTTATAAAACACTTCCCGATGGGTCCAAGTAATGAAGGGCAGTCAGTTGGCCGTGCATTATCTCCACTTAATCCAAAAGCAAACAAATAATGGTTTTACTCACCGGTGACAAATTCTGCAGTCTTCTTGAAGCGTGCAAGGATGAGGTAAGACACGATGTAAAGGCACGTAAACAGGAGTACACAGATCTGCACAAGACACAGAAAGATATAACATTTGAGAGACATTCAACAGAGAATGGGAAAACGTTCCAAATGCCCTGTAGTGGACTTTCATATATAACTGATTTTTCCGCATCTCAAGCCTAATGCAGTCAATGCATTTGAGACTCTGATGCCAACATTATCCACAAGAGCCACAAACAAACAAAAAGACAAAAACAAACAGGCTCTGTTATTGTAGAATATTTCAATTTTTACACATTCAGATAAAATACAAAAATGCATCCGATTAATAGCAAAACTGATCACGTATGCTTGCAAAGGCACGGACAGACAGATGGGGCCAGAAGATTATCACCTCATTAAAACAAACAGTTCTAAATGGGTGACAGTGTTGAAAATAAGAGCGAGATTAAGAGGGAAATGTGGTCTGGCATAGCAAGTAATGATGGGCTGCCTGCAGATATCATTGTTTTTGACATGAGGCTGTCAAATATGTAGGTCAAATCTATTGTTCATGCTCTGCTGGCTGATGAATCTCAACATTTTGCCCCAGAATGAGGTAAACTGTCGTGTTGCTTGAATCGGCAGGCCAAAAGAAAGAAGGCATCTAGCAACACATCTTCATGATGGCTGCCTAAGGGAGAACCGAAAGCCGACAATCACCTGAACAGTGTTTAAACACGCTCAACTGGATTTCCAAATTTGTCTCTCAGTGGTGTCATTCTCACTGAATAAAAAGGAAGTGAGCTCACAGTCAACAAGGCCAAGATCCAGTTTGGAGATTCATCACAATTCATGCCTGTGGGGGTGTTAATGCTGCAGTAGACTGCGAGCATGTCACAACACTCAACACCAAGTTTCCGCGGATATGTCATGATTGATGATACGCGCAATGACAGCTCCTGTTTCACACAACAGTTCTTTGCGTGATCACATGTCTGTCCTTGCCCAAGTAGCCATTTACACCACAAAATGAAAATGTTTTATTGATTTAAAAAACATGCAAGGATGGCATCAGGATGGAATTTCATCAGCCTTATGGAAAAAAAAACTAGAATTGGGTCACTTTAAACAGCAAGCAATTAGTCTCCACCCAAGGATTAGTTGAACTATTGTTGCTTTCTTTACATGTCATGTTTTCAAAATATAACCATTATGACAACAGATTCACAAACATAAGTCAGAGGTGGTAGAAAAAAAGCCAATGTGGTAACTCACCACATTTAAGTGAATAAAGACACGCACAAAAGCAGTAGGATTTGCCTCAAGAAAGCAGCATCCTTCCTTGTCACTCGAGACCTCAGGTACTCATTCCACCTTTGAGCGAATGTCTGATGGTGGTCATCTGACAGGGTCTGACCTGAAGCTCGAACCCACATTTCCACCCTCCTCCGGGTTAAGAATCGTGTCCGCTTTACCGGCAGGCTTTAATGGCTGCCGCTACACTTAACGCTCAAGCCAACTGTTCATTAATGTAAGAGTTGATTTGTTATGCCTGAAGAGTGAGACAAGGACGAGGGAACAGAATAGCAGTAGTTGTTGTGTAAGGTTTCACATGCGACATTAGCATAGCAGCCGAGCTAACACACTAGCCTACACATCAAAGTAGTGTTCTAAACCGAAGTTGGCTATTAATATCGTAGCGGAGTGTCATGTTGGAAAAGTTCAGAAACCAAAATACACTTCTTGCGTGTGACGTCTTCATTGATATCGCTGGCATTGAGCTGAAAACTTCTAAATCACAATGTGGTAAATTTCTCTCTTTTCTTTTTTTTTTTTTTACAAATCTATACTACTGGCCACTCCACGTGTGTGGATGTTCTTTTTTTATTTTGTATCTTATTGCCCAATCTTAAGTGCTGAAAACGGCTTGTGCTCTTTTTGATGATGCCATGTTGATGTTTGAAACAACATGACATTTTTGGGGTCTCGTGTAAAGTGATGATTTTGGAGCAACAAGAATTACGCCCAACGCTGGCGCGTTTTAGTTTATGTGTTCTGTTTTATTATTGTTATTTATGTTAAATGTTCTGTAAAGTGCCTTGTTACAGCCGGAACTCTTCTGAAAGTGATGTATAAATAAAGATGCATTGTATTGTACTGTAAGAGGAATCAATCAGGAATCACTAGGCAAGCAAGAAAAATCTCAGAACCGGTTGTTATTTCCGATCCCTACTTTCAAGTCAGCGTCATTAAATCTGCGGTTGTGGGCCAGAAGCAGTATGTCACCTGCCAGATCTTATTGTGAATTTACTCATCACACATCCTTCTTGATCTCTATCCAGGTGCAGGGTGTGGGCTGCGCGTGTCTCCAGCATCTACTTAACATTATGTTCCACTGACCAAAGAGGCTGAATTCTTGGTTGTGTTATTTCTGTTTGTGGGTCAGTAACAATATGCAACGCCCCCCACACCCCCGCCCTCCCAAAAAAAGACGTGTTTTTCATTAACTATGTGGTGGCAAAATGAGGCTTGGAAGCACTCATTACTGCTTCACAACAACAACAGGGATTGTGAATCATGCTGGACACCTGAAATCCGGAATTATTTTTGACTCATTTGAGTATTCCATGCTATATTCAAGCACCAATGGACTCAGTGTGAAACCCTGGCTCTTACATAAATGAGAATAAATGATCAACAATATCCCTGCTACAAGAGTTGGCTTTAGTGTGTGTTCATATTTGGGAAGATGGTCGCAAATTATGATTACAGGAATGAAAACCATTAAAAACTTTTTTTTTTTTTTTTTTTTTTTTGTGGTGCAAGGAAGGGAGGGAAAATGTGCAATGGAATCTCAGTCAGGAATGTGGAAAATATGCAAACTCGACATTGAAAAGCCAGCCAGCTGGCAGGTTCAGCTTCAGAACTTGTTGAGAGCCTGATGATGATTAATGTAATTTATTAACAGTAATGTCTAAACGCAAAAAGCGCTGACCACTAGAACTATTGTTTACATCACTACAGTTGCTTCAACCAAGTGATGACAAGTTGATTAAAGTACAACATTGTTGGTTTTGTATCTACAAATGCGTTAAATTATTTTTCCTATTTGAAGAATTACAAGAAAACAAGCATGCATTTTCACCACAGGCAACAATCTGTATACAGTATGTTGTAAATTAAAATGAAGTAAATGATATAACAATCAACTAGAAGTTGTCTCTGTGGTGAAGTAATAGGCTGGAACACAGTGACTGTGAGTGTTCGCCCAGATGTAGGTCAATCACTTTTTAACGATCACAAAATTTTTATCAAACTCAGAGGCACTCTTTTTGTGAGCCATGACCACAGTTTCTGGTCATCTTCACGTACAACTGGGCTTGCGTAGTATAACGCCTTCCTACGTAGTCAAGGATGACACCGTTGCTGATGCTTTGCGTCTTTATATGCTGAAAGCATAGAGAGCTGATAAAAGGTATTTATTTATTTTTATGAGAAATAATGTAAGTGAAGGTGGTTGGTAATCACTGTAGTACAGTATAGACATAAAATGTAGGTGTGCCGTTTCGGACATGTATATGAACCTGGATCAAATTCTCAGCACGTGATACAAGTGAAAACATACACAGCAGAGGACAAACGGAAATGAAGAGAGAAAAAGAAGTCCAGTATTGTCAAATACAAGTGGTGATGGGGCCACTTCCTCTCTACCAGATACATCCATTGCGCGCACACACACACACACACACACACACACACACACACACACACACACACACATATATAACACATTCACGTACACACACACACACACACACACACACACACACACACACACACACACACACACACAGTTGCAATTCAACTTTGAGTGAGCGATTCCAAAGCAGGGCTTCAAGTACAACATCGTAACTTCATGTGTCGGATTGTATTGTTTGTTTGTTTGTTTGTTGGCTTCAAAACGAAAAAGCTAATTTTCCGAGAACGCAGGCAGCACTTACGATGGTCTCCCTGACACGGTTGTGGAAAAGTTGCTCCCTCACCGACACGTCGTCCGTTTCCATCCTCCGACACCATAACAAAGAAAATGTCGTGTTCAGAGGCCGATCAGTTGGACTCGTCGGCAGAATATTTACAGATGGGCATCTTGCCGCAGTGAAAGCAGAGAAGTCCCGGTTGAGTGAGCGACTATTAGCAGCTTGCTACGCGACTCAGTTAAGAAGACAGGGGGCGGGGCTGAAGGGCGGGGCTAATGAGAGGGCCGTGCCACAGGTAGCTGTCATTCAACCTCATCATAGAACGTCGCATCATCACATAAATCAGTCAATCAATCAATCGATCAATACAGCATAGTTAAGTTTTGACTTCATACTAAATATGCTAGAGAAGGCAATCTCACCTTGAAGGTTGGTTCGTACACACACACACACACACACACACACACACACACACACACACACACACACACACACACACTCACATGCACTCACTCATGTCATAGTGACTACTGTGTAGAAAGTGAAGATCGTGACACCACATGGACAAAAAGAAGCTCTGCAACACACCCACACACACACACACACACACCCACACACACAGACACACACACACAGGCTCACATGCACTCACACACACACACACACACACACACACGCACACACACACACGCGGGCTCACACATTAAAATGTCCTCACTCTGTTGGTTAAAAACTCATGCCGGTCCTCACAATGTCAGCAGTACAAGAACACACACACTCACACACACACACACACACACACACACACACACACACACGGGCTCACATGCACTCACACACGCACACAGGGGCTCACATGCACTCACACACGCACACGCACACACACACACACACACACACACACACACACACACGCACACGCACACACACGATGTCATATAGTTCACTTTTGCTGTCGATAGTGCTCGCTTGGCTGGACTGACATCTATTGGCAGTAGTTGGAAGTTACAGAGGACAAAATCGTTGGTGAACCCAAGTACTGTAGTTTTTGAGGTAGCTGTACTTTACCTTGAGCAGTACCTTTCTGAATATGACTTTGCACCTTTACTTTGCGGGGGTGACAGTGGCTCATTTGAAGGGATTTGGCATTTAGAACCAAAATGTCATTACTGAAAGTTGAAGCGCCCTCAGCTTTGGTCAATACTGTATCTTAAAATGACAAATTGGTTTCACTCTGATATCTCTCCTTGCATGCCTGCCTGCATGTGTGTAATTCGGTTATGTGGGTGGTGATATGAAGCACGCTATACGCATATATATATATATATATATATATATAGAGAGAGAGAGAGAGAGAAAGAGAGAGAGAGAGAGAGAGAGAGAGAGAGAGAGAGAGAGAGATACATGTGCATACATAGGCATCCATCCATCCATTTTTTTTAACCGTTTTATCCTCACAAGGGTCACGGGGGGTGATGGAGCCTATCCCAGCTGTCTTTGGGCAGTATGCGGGGGACACCCTGAACCGGTTGCCAGCCAATCGCAGGGCACACAGAGACGAACAACCATCCGCGCTCACACTCACACCTAGAGACAATTTAGAGTGATCAATCAGACTGCCATGCATGTTTTTGGAATGTGGGAGGAAACACGAGTACATGGAGAAAACCCACGCAGGCCCAGGGAGAACATGCAAACTCCACACAGGAAGGCCGGAGCCGGGACCGAACCCACGACCTCTGCACTGTAAGGTCGATGCGCTAACCACTGGACCACCGGGCCGCCCCATACATAGACATATCAATTTAATTTCCTTTTAAAGGATTGTAATATGAAAAATTTGATTAAATTAAGTAAATTTAAAATCAGGTGTATATACTTTCTTCTTCAAAATAGGCTCACCACTTTTTGCAAGATCCGTGTATGGCGACACTACACCGCTTAAAAAAAAGCACATCAATAGGAGAGGTGAAGTGAATAGAAGTGAATGGCATCGTGCACTATTTTAATATAAGTGTTCAGTAAAAACTCTGAAGGCAGAAATGCATTTTAATAATCTTGCTAAGATTGGTACAATATTTATAATTAACTTGTAATTAGTAATAATTAATCATATATTAATACATATTGCATTTCTGTATGTGAAGCAACGACAACGAGTTTCCTTTACTGTAATTGCACTACTTTTAGAGCTTTGCACTGCATTTAGGAACGATATAACATGTAGAGTAAAATAGGCTGAGGTCCATCAAGGGCCCTAAAAGTTGATGTGTATCACGTGCTGAGTTTCATTGTCCTGATCCAAAGTCCAATCTGTTGCAACAACATGCAGCTACTTTAACAGAAGAAGGACCGAAAAGGATTGATCTTCTCAAGGGTTTCAAGATTAGGACTCAGTCAGTGAAAAGAAGACAAAGCAAAACATAATTGGCAAGTATATAAACCACTTGGTTAACATTAGTTAAACAGTACAGTAACATCATCAAAATGTGTTTCTGTTTTGTTGTTGTGATGTCTTGCTGCTTGCTGTGTATACAGCACTGAATTATTTTATGACTGAGAATCCAACATTATGCGACAAACCTCCTTTTTAAAAATTGTATAGTGATGCCTTGAGATGCGAGTGACCTGACTTATGAGTTTCGGTTTTTTTTAGATATGAGCCCTGACAATGAACAAAAGGCAACGTTTTTTTTCATCAAATTCATCAGGTTTCAACTTGAAAATGAAGGGCATGTGTCTCCTCCCACAGATATTCAATGAGCATGTCAAATTGTCACCCGTACCAGCGGTGATCATCATCGCAAGATGGTCAAAAGTGTCATGGTCGCCTACGCCCTGTGGGCAGTGGGTGGTCTTTTCGGCCTTCACCATTTCTATTTAGGAAGGGACAGCCAGACTCTGTTATGGATCCTAACCCTGGGAGGTTTCGGAATAGGCTGGATCAGAGACTTGATATGTATTCCAACATATGTCACTGAAGCCAATCAAGATGCAGAGACGAAGAAGAGAAAAGCCTCCAACATGCTCCATCCACCAGTGAACCCAGTTCGATTTGCTGGCCAGGTGTGTGTTGGGGTCTACTTTGGCACTGTGGCATTGATTGGCCTGAGCTCCCTCAGGTTCTTCGATTTGATCGTTCTGCCTTTATGTGTGGCTGCTGGGGTGCACCTGGTGTCCACTGTTGGCCAACAGACCTCTCATCTCCCCAAAACGCTCATAGCTAGTCTTATAACATCCCCGATATTCTATGGCAGCACTTTATCCCCTCTGCCCATTAGCCTGGCAGCCAGTGTCACTGCCACACAGCATCGCAAGTACAAGAAACCACCAGCAGCAGGAAACACACAAGAACTCGGTAAGACCAAAATGCTTCACTCACTTGAAGTCGTTACCATCACTGATTGTTTATTTGGCACTTTTAGGCCCACGGCTTTGCAGGCTGAGTTTGGCTTGGCTGGCCTTTTCTGCTCCATTGGCGTACTGTGTTTTCCATAATACCACCGCCACATTGTATTACCTGTCTGACTGTGTGGCAGCACTGTTGGATATGTTCTGGTTCCTCCCTTGGCTTCGAAGTGTGCTGGAGTACATTCTTTTAATGCCATATCGCTTCATGTGTGTCTTGACTGGAGGCGGCTATTATGAAGAAGCCTGGACAAAGATGCTGGAAATACTCCTGAAAGACTACAATGAGCAGGAGAAAGAGGCACTGAAGGTGACTACATGCTTTGATTTCGCAAAGGTTATACTGTAGTGCCTTTGTAGGGCGATTTATATTCAAACGTATACTGAAGCACATTCCAGATTGTATTTTGTCATTTTACAATGTAACCACTAATGTCGAGCACCTTCCTTTTTAAGACACTGGTTTCTTCCTAGATGTTCGTACTTCAAAGCTTTATTTTCATATGCTGCATTTATTATTGCAGGTTTTATTGCTTCAAAGTACCGGTATTATTTTAAAAGTTATATATTTACTATATGTACTGTATATTGCAGGTTTTATCGCTGGGAGGTCAGGCCTCTCTTGAAGAGATAACTCGTGGCTATAGGGAGCTTGCCAAGACATGGCACCCAGACCACAACCCCAGCAAGGATTCTGAGGCCATGTTTGTCAAGATCCATGAGGCCTATGAGGTTCTTCTACGGCGTCACAGGCCCAGGCGCTTCACATAGTTCCTGAGAATAAGTTGGCACAGGCATACCCTACTGTAATTTTCATTATCAGTGGGGAAAAAAATGGTCAACTTCCCATCTTACGTGACAACCTTTTAATTGTCAAACTATTTTACATCACAGTCTGAATTGATTTGGTTAACTTGAGCTGTTATTAGGAACAAAATGTACTAATCATTTCAAACAGCTTTATTTACACACTTGAGGGCCATACACAGCCAAAAAGATACCCAGTATATTAAAAGCAACCAGGTACAAATTCATAAATATGAACATCAAATTCCTTCCTACAGCCAGCAAAGTACTGACTTTAAAAACAGTGACTCGTCCCGTGCAGGTCTATTGAGAAAACGGTACTTTGCTTCCCTCTTGTGGCGCTGTATCCACCCATGAACTATTTTATGTCACCAATGTACAGCATTGAATATTGTATACATTGCTGGATACTATCTTGTCTTGTTTGCCATATATTGTTACAGGTGCAGGGTTTTGTATTTTTCAGATGTTCAGATCAATATTATTTAATGTATAATTTAATGATGTGGTACTACTAATAAAATAAACCACATAAACAAAAAGCCAATCAGCAGTCAAATGATCAGACCCTCCGAGAATGTTTGCCTTGATTTTAAGGCCTACTAATCCATTTGCATCCACATATTATGCATATCGATGCATTCGATAACCGCAGCCCGGAAGTTGTTTGGGGTTCCCAGGTAAAAAAAAAAAAAAAAAAAAAATCCGAGCGATGCTGCGGTCGCTTTGAAAACAAACCGCAATCCAGGCAATTCCAAGGACGGCAAGAACGAGCCGTGACCAGGTAAGGAGGCGCTTTGTGGACTCAGCCCGGCGCGCGCTAACACAAAAAGAGTCTTCATCGAGTATCATTTGCAAGCTTCTTCTTTTTTTCCGCGGGAGTTGAACGCGGGTGAATGCCATTTGTCTTGTGCTCTGCTGCCATAGCAACGGCGCGCTAGAAACATTGAAGAAACATTGCATGGCAGCGCCGACAGTTGAATGTGTTAAATGCTCGACGCTGGATGACAGCCGCATGTGTGCATGGAGCAGTCATTGTGAATCATGTCAGCCCCCGTTTTTATCTTTCCAGCACCGAGTACGTAGCTCTAATAAGTGGCCAAATATATCTGTGCAGGCCAGGTAATTATTTGCAAATATAAACCGCGCGGTCGCCCTCCTGCCGAGATGAATGATTATCAGTCAAGAGTCGGCGCTAGAGTGTCTCCCCCCCATACGCCCACCACCCTGACTCCCCCCGAGCCGTGCCCTGGTGTGACTGGCGCGTCTGCATCCGCGCCTGTTGCTCTCTCAGCGGCCAGAGGCAGCATATTCATTCACGTTCGCTTTTTAGCCTCCTCTCACCACCGCAGCCCTACACTTGTTTGTGCACAAGGTGCGGCGTTTTCCTTCGCCGTAGGCTACCAGATGATAATACTACCGTGACATGAGAAAAGGAAACCTTCACCGAGGTTGAAAACACGCATAGAAATTAGTTGAATGGAATTTCCCATGTTTGGTCAGCGTTGTTTAAATTTGGCTCATGCATGTCAGATTCTGATCCTGCAAACAATTTCTGTCAAATCCGATCAAATTGGACATACACTACTAACATAATAAAGGGAACAAAGTCATAATCATCACAGTGGAAGTCCAAGTTGATCACTCTTCTGATATGGAACTGCTCAGGAAGTCAATGCAAATTTAATTGTATAACATCAGTCGAACATATACGGAAAGGCACGGCCGTTGTATTTATATGGCGCATTTCCTGAGCAAAATAATGCAAAAGTGTGTGAAATAGTTAGAGGTACAACATGTAAACAAAAGAGTTAAATCATTCAAAAGCAAAGTAAATAAATTACAAGGAGCATACTAAAATTACTCAAAGGACCTACTGTGCAAGAACAATTTTTTGGACACATTTATTTGTTAAATGTTTTGAAAGACCTTAATCATATATTTGGGAAAAGAGCATAGTTTTGAAAAGCATTTACACTTGAGGCTGATTTTACTTCGTTTCCGTTTGGAGCCTTATCCATTTGCGTGCAGCACAACAGCTAAATGCTGCTTCACCATGTTTGCATTGAAGTCTGCGCTCCACTAATTGAGCCAAGTCTGCAGACCTCAGAGGTCTACTGGTTTATATTTCATTAGCATTTCTTTATTGTATTCAGGACCTAAACCATTCAGTGATTTATAGACCAGGGCAGAACTTTGTCTTATCATAGCTGACTGAGAGTCAGCATAAAGCCTTAGGAGTGGTGTAGGCAAATCCACAGAAGCAAAGAAATAGCGGTTACAAAAACAAAGATGAAAATCAAGATAAAATGCCAAGGAAAAAAAATCAAAATAAATGAAAAGATAAAACAAAACGGTGAAAAGACAAAACACAAGGGGCCCATTTTCGTAGACAGTGCATATGCGCTTGGCATAAAAGCTGCCGCATCTTGATTTTCGTGCCGGGGTCAGTCTATCTAATCGTTTTTGGGAATTTGGCAGACTGCTCTACGGCCATGCTGGGCGTTCCGACGGACTGATTGTGTTTTCTTCAACACGCCTCCGTTGTACCAGGCAATTTGGTCTCTAAAAGGAGGCTATACTTAAGACCAGGTGAAACCTCAGCTGCTATGTGCTGCGCTGATATGTGATGTCATCGTAATTTATTCATTTGAGTTTTTGTCATTACTGTCCTTGGCTTGACCATTTTTTGAGTTTGTCTTGACAGAAACATTTTCACATACAGTCATACAGGCACTCCACTGAGCGAAGTGTGAAAGTACAGATAACTGATGAGCTTATTGCCAGTCCCAGTTGAAGTTCAGTGTCAAACTAAATATCAAACAAACTGTTTCATTTTCATTACCGGTACATTTTTATTAATTAATAATAATATTAAGATAAGATAAGATATCCTTTATTTGTCCCACACTGGGGAAATTTACAGTCTACAGCAGCAAGATCGTGGGTAGAAAGAAGAAAGAAGAAAAACAAAGTGTTTGCATTCACAAAATAAATGTACTTTTTTTCATTTTCATTTATTCATTAATAATTATTCTTTTTTTCTTTTATTGTTATTCTTTATTGTTATTCTTATTAATCATGAATGTATTCTTTCATGAACAGAGGGGAACCAACCATTTCGTCCTTGTGTGTCATAATACTTTTTTACCCCATTTGTTTGCGTATGGGAATATGTGCTTAAGTGATGACTGTGCTTAAGTGATGACTCCGTCATTCATTTGCAAGCCACAGTGCAGATGAATCTGCCTGAAATAGTGCAGGCCATGCCTGACCCTAATATGAACATGTCCAACAGAGAGCTTCACATTCTGGTTTCCTGAAAGCCAATGTAGTATTCAAATTGGACACCTTTCTTCTTTCGTTGTGCAGATGCAGGCATCTGGTGAAACAATGAATGCTGATGACTGCAACGGATGCTCTCATGCATCAGGTAACGATGCACGAGGATGTAAACACACAGTCCATTTGGGCGTGCAGACACCAGAATTTGACTTTGCCGTCTCTTTCAGGCAGTGGCCAAGAGTCGGCGACAGAGCAGGACTTTTACAGTTCAAACAGTCAACAGTCCTTGACTCATTGCTCCTTTGCAGGTTAGTTTTCAACCTTCCCGCACAGGCTTTTTTGATATTATCTGTAAATGTATATTCGAAAGGTACATTTGATTCTTCCCTTCCCAGAAAACTCCATCAAGGCGGAGCTGTGCAGTGAAGAGAAATCATCACAATCAAACAACCGAGAGAGTGACAGAATGGAGCTGATGGAGGGAGGGAGCGCAGAGCAAGCTGGGCTCGGCCAAGGGAATTTTTACAGTGAGTTGGGCACTTCAAAAAGTGCTTCTTCGCCTGGACCCATCCGACTTCCGAGTGGAAAGCTCCAATGTGATGTGTGCGGGATCATCTGCATCGGACCCAACGTGCTAATGGTGCACAAGAGAAGCCATACAGGTGACGAGAGCCGAGCGAACAGTGAGCACCTAGGACTCAAAAGGGCATGGTGGTTTTCACGCCTGTGTGTTGCTTGGTTGTTAGGTGAGAGGCCTTTCCAATGTAATCAGTGTGGAGCTTCCTTCACCCAAAAGGGGAACTTGTTACGACACATCAAGTTGCATTCTGGAGAAAAACCTTTCAAATGCCCCATTTGCAACTACGCTTGCCGGAGGAGGGACGCCCTAGCCGGACATCTACGGACCCATGCAGGTGAGCTTTCTTGTGAGAGACAAATACTGGTGCTGCACAAAAAGAGAGTCAAAGGTTCGCTTTTGAAAGACACTGTAAGATGAATAGTGATTTGACAATATGTTTATTGTTGGGATAGTAGTTTGCAATAGTGTCCTGCTGCACTGTATTTTATTGAGATCTGCTTCTGATAGCTCGAGTTGTAATATTTAAGATCTCTAATTTGTAAGATCGGTACAACATTTAGCTACACGAGATAATTAAAATATGAGACAGTTTACAACATGATGTGGAGGAATTACAATTTCAAATTTCACTGAGTATTTCACCGATTGTTCACAAATTGGACATTATTATCTTTTATAAAGTTTATAAAAAATTTTTGCTTTTTCCTTATTTTAATAACATAAAAGAAACAAAATTTTACCATTTCGTCTGCGCTTCACCAAGGGACTATGTATGTATGTACGTATGTATGTATGTGTATATATATATATATATATATATATATATACAGTATATATACTGTATAAATACAGTATATATATACACACACACACACACACACACACACACACACACACACACACACACACACACACAGTCAAGGCTGCGAACCAGCCCCCCGCTGCCGCCGTTGAACCAATGTTGTCACTGGTGATGGTGCCGTGGAGGAACGAGCTGGATTCCATGCTCCTACACACCTGGGACACATTGCTTCAATGGCGGCAAGGGGTTGGAGCGCATCTTAACAAATCAAAAAAGTTATTGCTTCATCTAAAAAAAATTATTGTGAACACTGTCATAACGTGATGAGGCTTGTTCATGTCTGGTCACTTCTTGTTTTATTTTGAAAGAATGACTCTCCTCTCATTTCAGATCACTTTCCCTTCCTCCTGTGCCAGTGTGATTGTCAGCCCGGCCCTGAATGCTTCCACCTGTTGCCCCTTACCTTGTGTTTAAATTGTCCTTGTCTCCCTTTGTCCTGTGCCAGTGTGCTTCGTCCTTGTGTGTCCACTCCATCCTCTCGCCACAGATCTGACCAGTACTTGCCTTGTTTACACAGCTTCGCCATTTTGTGTTGTCAGTCGCTGATCCTCAAAAATATCTTTTTACTTGGAACCCAGTGTCCAAGTCTGGTTCTGACAAACACAACATAAGATACAGTACGCGAGACGGTCAACGTGGACGAGACTAGCGACATACAAGGGATAATGCTGGGTTAGGCTGCGATGATGCGCTGCCAATCGGCTCACGGAATAAATCCACTCGTGCTCTCATTGGTCTATGTTGGGCCGGGCACCAATCACTTGTTTGAATGAGCCTCTGAGTCACGTCAGCTCTTTGTTCAGCTTGCAGGGAAACCTCTCTTCTGCATCAATATGAAAGAATGCGTCTTTCCACAATGTGGCTGCCGATATGACTATTTTTATATTTTGATTAACTTTTTTAATGACTACAGTTTTTTAGAAAAACCCACAAAGAACTGAAACCGCAAAACATGAAACGTGAAGTGGCGAGGGATTGCTTTATTACAAAAAGTGACATTTAGCCTTTGTGTACACAAGAAATCTTGCTAGGAGATTATCAACACTTAAAAAGATGTTTTCAAATTTTTCTTTTCCGAGGAAAGCTTCTTAAAAACTGGATTTGGGTAATTAATGTCACTTTGTGGTATTTCACTCTAATGGGACATTGTGATGGCAGGTTAAACACTGGTTGTAAATAGGGCAATTCATTTTCTATACATTTTAAAGTATGACAGTCAAATTTCATTTTATTAATTTTGATTTTATTGTAGGGCTGTCACTGAAATAATTTTAACGTGACGCTGAGTACTTTATGAACCATTTTCCCAAAATGACATACAGCGTAAGGGTTCAGAATGACTTACTTAATTTTATTCCCCATCATCCAAGTTACAGGTCATTTTAAACTTTGTTTGGGATTTTATAATTGCAGTTTCTTCGCCACTGGAGGGAAAGCCTTTTAAGTGTGTCTACTGTAGTCGGAGCTACAAACAGCAGAGCACACTGGAGGATCATTTTGACCGTTGCCACAGTTTTCTCAAGAGCCAGGACCAGAAGGCAGCAGTCAACTCAAAGACATCCCAGCAGGGTAAGACACAGCACAAACAACTTAATAGCGCCCGTGCAACAGTTAATCTAAGGCAGGGGTGCCCATTACGTCGATCGTGATCGACCAGTAGATCAGGGACTGGTCCCAAATTGATCCGAGGGGTGTAGAGGTAAAAAAAAAAAAAAAAAAAAAGTGTCTCCGTGCTTGTTAGTAATATATTTTTTGTGTTAATGCACACTGCACCGTAATCATTCTATCAGTCTCACTTTCACAAAAAGTATTGAAAAATGAAACTAAAATAAAGCGGGTCATCTTTAACCTACAGTGGCGTCACTGGAAGTTGTTAGCGCTCAGCAGTCTGCAGTTTCAGCTTGTGCTCAGAGTTGTTGCGCTAATCTTTTATCGTTATCATTATTCTCGTTCAGAGTTTGTTTTGTGCAATTCACCGAGGGGACGGGCAAAGAATGGGAATCTGGAGGGCCGAGAGAAGCATTTTAAAATGGTACGCGTGAGCTACGATCGTTAACAGGCAAAAGTGCGTCGCATGCCTCAGCGTCAGGCTGTTGCTCATCATGGCGTGCATGTGTATGTGCGTGCGTGTGTGCGTATGCGCGCGTGCGCGGTAATGGGTCAATCCCGGGAGGTTGGTTGATCAAAAAGTAGATCTTCGGTCAAAAAAGTTTGGGCACCCCTAATCTAACAACATTCAATTAGTCACGGATGTTTGCGCAAAGAAAGTCATTGTGTATTTTATTGGCAGATGATCCGTCTCTAAATATGGAGACAATGGCTAAAACCACGCTGGACATGTCCAATGAGAAACCACAGATTGCGGATAGATTAGTTGTTAGCATCACCAAGCGCAAGAGGTCAACACCACAGAAGTTTCTGGGTATGTTATCTCTGCTGATTCCATAGTGCCATATTAAATATGTTACTTCTATCATGCAATTATATATTCACTTGTAGGAAAACACATTGGGCTCTATTCTCAAGCCCAGTGCAAATCTGACGCTGCCGGGGTCTAAATCTGCGCAAGGGCAGGCTAGACTAAGTTTTGGTATACTGTAGTCACAGAGCCGTGCAAGCGAGTAGCATGGCTCATGTAAAAAGGGCATTTGGCGCGATTGTGGATGTGAACACAGCCAACTTGATTCGCTGCCAATCGAAGCAACTCCTTTCACTCCCTTTTAGACGAGCTGATAGTCCTTGACATTGCGGAAGAATAGACTCATTTACTCGTGTCTTCTGGCAGATCAAAGTTCATTAGTACGTTTATAAGAAACTGCGAGCAGACCTCAACGGGTGGAAGCTATGAAGTTGGCTAGGGAGATCACAGATCTGTGAAGTGGACGCCTTCGACACTGATCGTATGTGTCTTTGTGTGAGCCTCTCTATTTAGCTGTGCCGTTGCCAGTCACTTGGGATGATTTGGAAATTATATGGTAAAGATGATACCAATTATAATAATATTAATAATGCGTTCAGTGAATTGATTTCTGCAATGATTCAGAGTGTTTGATGCCCGCTGTTGTCATATTGATGAATAAACTATGATGACTTCTGCACCTTGCTCAAATTCTCCCAAATCATCTCACACTACCTTGCGACGAATAGTCAGATGTGGTCCCAGAAGGCATAACGCTTCGTTTACCTTCAGCCACCAAATTGTCCGATTCCTAAACAAGGGCATCAAGGCTTGCGTCAGCACAACAATCAGGATATGCCAATTTACATGCTCGAGTGCTGCTGCACTGTCACCGAATGTAGAGCCCATTGCGTAAAAACACGTTCCATTGACTTTCACTGGCATTTGGTGTTCCCAGCTGACGAGCACATCCATCGAGACCTGCTAGAAGTTCCTTGTGACTTGTCTTCTGGTTCTGAGAGGGAAGGGGAGCATCTGAACCCTCAGCCAGCTGAAGACTCCACTGGTTTGAGTAGGATACCTCTGCAAGACTCCAGAACCAAACGAAGGAACGGTGTGCCTCATCCTGCCTTCCCATCTGAGCTGCACGTATTCATGGGCTCCACTGACAACAACGTGCCTCCTCAAGGAGCCCCGGGTGGACTCTCAATGGTGCCTCTTGGCCTGTCTGGTCAAGCAGCAGCCGAAGGGTGCAACGGTCACCCTTTGGTTCGTAGCCACACAACCTCACCCAACGGATGTCCCGACTCTACGGATACCGAGAGCACAGCAGAAGACCTCAGCACAAGGGCTGCAGTCCACACACGTACCTCCAACAACAACCAGCACCTCCACTACCAAACCCTAGCACTGCCCTACAGCCTTTCCACCTCCACACTCGGCCAGGCTAAAGAGATGGACTCAGAGTGGGACAACAGAGTGTGTCCATCACCTCCCACCCCAGTGAAGAGGTGCACTGGCTCACTGCTCCCTTCCAGGGAGAAAGTGCAGGTGTTGGACAGGGACGGTCAGCCTATGCGCTATTTCCACTGCCGCCACTGCCGCATCCTCTTCCTGGATCATGTTATGTTCACCATCCACATGGGCTGCCATGGCTTCCACCAGCCCTTTGAGTGCAACATCTGTGGCCACAGCAGCCGGGACCGCTATGAGTTTTCCTCACACATGAGTCGAGGAGAGCACCAACTGGCCTAAGGAGAGCCGGAAGGGGTGAGCGTTGAGAGGAGCCACTCGAGGCGTTGTGGGCTCATGTTGGCTCTGCACCAGATCATGCTTTCAACCCCCAGTGTAAAATGAAGAATGTGTCCTATTCTGATTACCTTTGCTGGGTTTACATGCAGACTGTTTTGTCATTCTCTGGTCAACCGTTTACATGTGACGTGATCTATTCCGATCTGGCGTTAACATATGCCACTACATTTACTGAAAACAGATGTGTGACGCGCAGATTCATTTAAATACCACATCATTTATGAAGGTGGAGGTCGATTGTCGGTTTTGCGCAGTAGTTGTGACAGTCGTGTTGTTGTGCTTTTATGAAAGCAACAGCTTGATAAAAAGCAGTTACAAGAGTTGAAAACAAGCTCTCCTGCCGCAGACCAGCTCTGGTTGGAAGTCGCCAGATTATCAAGTGTGAAGACGACGTCACATTTAAGTCAAGACAGAGCATGCGCAGCCTGGCGTTCCTATTGAACAGCATGCATGACTCATCATCGGATTGGCAACGGGAATGTACAACCCCTGTGAATCCAAATTAAAATCCATTCGGGTCTGACAAGCGAAGCAGAAGCGGGTAAAGAATCTTCTGAGAGCAGCATTTACAAGTTTATTGCGGCAAATTATGTAATATGATTGATTGCACTCGCTTATTGAATCATCTGGCAAAATGTGATTTTGCTTTAAAAGTGCCTTTTGGGGGATTCCCTCCAAACTAAAAAAAAAAAAAAAAAAAATGAAGGTAACAGGTGCTGGGAAATCACGACGAGCCATCTTCTCTTTGATTCAAATTCCTCTATGAAAAGGTTATGTGCACAAGCAGAACCGAAGGCACATTGTTTACATTTGAAGAATTGTGTTTGGCGTGCCTAGTACGCTTTAGGAGTTGAGTTTGGTTGTGCGGGATGGTGTTTAGTTTGTGAGGTGTGTGAGCCTCATGTGCGCTGTGCCTCTGGGATTGGGGGGAGCTTTTGTCAAAAGGTAAAAGCTAAAAAGGACTGCCTTAACTCGAACTTGTTTACAGTGTTTGAAGTCAGAAACTGGGTCTGACCGTGAAGGTACAATAGCTTGCGCAGGATTTTGGATCTTAAAATCAGACCACGAGTCATGAGGTTGACAAGGAAGATTCTGACCAACTTAGCTCGGGGTGCTTCGAAATCTACAGGACTGCCCCTGTCGACTCGCTGCTTGAACATGACAAGTCTCTACCCAAGCACTTGATGGTTGTACTTTGTTGTGCTCGTTCTGCACTGAGATAACAGCTGAATCCTCACAATGACGGTTATGTAATTTGCCTTTCTCAGATTCCCCTCATGTTGCACAAGCTATGACAGTCAACTTTGCTGCGGTGGATGATTGAGAATCCACTATCATTTCAGCTAAAACTCTTCTGGCACTTGAGGCTGACAGTATGGAGATCTTCATTTGAATCAAAGTCATTGTTTAGCAAGTAAAACTTGGGTTATGTTGAGTTTGACTCGCAGGTGTTTCTTTATTACCGGTAGTGTTGCTTGTTTCAGCCTTGGTTGTATTTAATCAGCTATATTCCAAATCTTCTCCAGCGTATTCCTCAAGCGGACAAGAGATATTACCTCCTGCTTCTTTCAAGCACCCAAATACCTTATTGCTACAGTACAGTGACTTTTCTGTTCATGTTGATTTCGGGAACACAAATGGGACAAAACTCAGTATTCTCGAATTGTTATTGTGGGTTTGCTGCTTTAATAGTTGAACGTCTTTTTTTAAATGCAGAATGTAATAAGATGACAAACAAAACAAAAAAAGGAGCTAAAATGAAGAAATGTGCGTGACTGGAACACAGCATGTGTGCTTGTCACCACCTTGCTTTCACCTGTGAACAGTTTTTAAAAAATTTTTTCTTTATCTTTTTTTTTTTTTTTTTTTTATCATGTGAAGTTCAGTGAAAAACGAGGCATGGGTTTGTGTCTCCCTGTGTGGACTTTGTTGTGGTTTGACGCTATTTTGTGAGTGATATTACAAGACAAAAACAATTTACCTCAAAGTTCAACACGTTTAACTGCCTCATCACTTCAAAAAGTCCTGTTGCTTTCCAAGATGTTTCTGCAGTGACAAATGCCCTCGCTATTCTGCAAACTTTGTACTGTTCATAAAGTTCGATTTATTGTTAAAATGATTTTGCTTTCTTTCATCATGCATGCATTCAATACATACTGTGACAAAGATTTTACATCACTTGAATTGTTACTACTGAAGCAAGTGCAAATATGGTGAAAAATGACATTTCCCTGTAGATGCCTTTACCCGGCGGCACAGTCGTCGACTGGTGAGCACGGCCGCCTCACAGTGCAGAGATACAGGGCTCTGGCCTTCCTGCGTGGGTTTTCTCAAGGTACTCCAGTTTCCTCCCACATGGCAGGTGAATGGAACACTGAAAAGTGATTGTTTTTCACGTACGGTTGTTTGTCTCTGTGTCCCCTGCGATTGGCTGGCAACCAGTTCAGGGTGTCCCCCTCATACTTCCCGAAGGCAGCTGGGATAGGCTGCAGCACCCCCCGCGACCCTCGTGAGGATAAGGCGGATCAGAAAATGGATGGATGGATGTATCCCAGGCATGCTCGGCAAAGCTGCTGTCTTAACTTTAAAATGGGTAGTACCGGGTTTTGACCACTAGATGACACTCAAGTCAAGTTTACGCAGCTCATTGAACGTCCCCCCCCCCACAATTGAGAACTGTGTGGTTTTCTCCAGAAATTCATTTTCAGTTCAACGAACTGTACTGAAACATACTGACTAACATAACGATACTAGTACGACTAACGTTTTGTAAATTGCATTTTGGCAATTAAGATGACTGAACTTTTCAACCCCACTCACACAGTATGGTGCAAAACGGCAAAGGACTGTACAAGCACAATATTAGTATAACAATAATAGATATAAATATGACAGTTTTAAAAACTGAAAAATCCCTCCTTAAGTACAGTAACAACATCGTGTTTTCTTATTTCCTGACACTGAATCTAGAACATGATTATCTGTTGATTCAACTCCGCTGTTAGATCTCATTCAATTATCAATTTCCCCAAGTCATGGCATCTGCTATGAAGCTAAAAATCATATTCCAATGAGGAGTAACTCACAAAGAAAATTAAAGTACAGTCATGGTACCATGAATCTTACTTTTTAACTTGGTCCCAGCCAATGATTTAGTTTTGGCAGTGTGTTTCCACCACATTTGCACCGATTCCAACACGAAAATGCATCTATTGTTTATAGTCCAAGTCATGTATATAGCATGTGTGTTTGAAAAGCAGTGTACAGTTCTATTACTTACCTTCAATTTGCATTATATATCTTGTCATCTTTTTGGTATTTCTTTAAAATACTGATGCATGAGAATACAGTAATGCTTGACAGATGTTTGGTTGCATCAAGGCCGTATCATTCGACCAAATTATTTCTTACTTTTAATGTCAAGAACATTTATTGAATCAAATTGTTTTGCAAGTCCAAATAGTGCCCCCTAATTAGCCATGTTCAAGTTTTCACTGCAGTGTGCGTTTAAATTGCCAAAATGTACGCATTCAAACATTTGTGGCCTCAGCAATACGTATTGAAACCAAGATGAAAAGTCATGGGTTGGACGAGAGTGAACTTTTTTTTAAATTTTATTTTTTAGGTTGCAGCATGTACTAAAAACACAGCTGGCAGAGCTTTTCACATCTCTGTGCCTCTGGAATCCATTAGTGATCAAATCCTGTGTATGTCTATTGCACACAGACAAAGGCGGGTGGGAGCAAGCAGTGTACGTTTGACAATGCGACACCAGGAAAATATGCATGTTTTAGCGTTGGGGAGAATGCTGAAGTTGTGTGATGCAAGCCATTCCCGGCATGGGTGCCCTTGGGAAGTTGTGTGGCTCCTGTGGTTGCCTGTCCCCCTGTCACTGCATTGGCCTGAAAGAGGCCTTGCCACGAGAAATGTCTTCTTTACCGACTTTGGCTGCCAGATGGAGTGGATAATGGATGGGACCCACTGCTGCACGAAGTGTGCGTGCAGCCACATGAAAGTGCACACAAACATACACGATTTGGCCATTTGGGGTCAAGGATGCCCATGTTGTTAATGTGGGACATGCTGCACACACACTGTGTCACACACAGAAAGTGATGTCACACCAGGTCGCCTTCAGTGAGTACATTTTGCTTTTCTGTCACCTAGATAGGTGATAGCTAGCGAGCTAGCTAAATATCAGATAGCAATCTAGCTACATATTTCTAAATTAATCGTCAATCAATCAATCCATCTGTCCATCCCATCCATCCATTCACCTTCCCAAGCACCTGTTCACCAATCCATCCACCCATCTATCCATTTATCTATCCATCTAGACATCCATAATCTAGTTCTACAGTGCGACCTGGGTTTTTGTGATTGATCCATTCCAAATTGTCTTACTAATACCGAATCATATGAAATCCAAAGCATCATTTTCCTTAGTAAATATTGTGAATCCATTGCAGACTCCTAAAATTGGAGGATAATTATAGCTTTCCATTAAAGATTAGGGGTACAGTCTACCAATATGTCTTTTGGTGGATACAACACGTTGATATAAGGCCTTGGTGCCAATGCAGGTCACCTTTAACCTACGGTGGCACGTGACCTACATCACCGGAAGTTCTCAGCATCCAGCAGTCTGCAATTGCAGCTTGTGATCAGAGCTTTTTTTTTTTCTCATTCTAAATTTGTTTCGTTTGCAATTCACGGATGACACTGGCAAAGATTGGGAATCTGGAGAGCCAGAAGCATTTTAAAACGGTACACGCGAGTTACGATAGTGATGTTGCTGCATTTAACACGCTGCAAAAGTGCATCCCATGCCTCCGCGTCAGGTCTTTACTGAGGTAGGCAGAGATTTCCTTTTCATAAACTCACAAACTCTTGTATCTACTTTATTTTTCTTGCTCATGTTAGGGGCCGTTATGGCTGCTGCTCATCATGGCAAGAGTGTGTGGATGCATGCACGTGCGGTAACGGGTCAATCGCGGGAGGTTGGTTACTTGAAATAGATCTTCGGTCAAAACAGGTTGGGCACCACTGATGTAAACAAACACTTTTGATAAAGTGCCTCATATATCTGAAGAGTATAAAAGTCTCTTTTGCGGAACAAAAACATATACACAAGTATTAAACTTGTTTATTTTTAACCTGTATGTAACAGTAAACAGTTTTTATAAAAGCTTACGTATTGTTTTATGAAAATATCAGCTGGTTTACATGTCTGGCAGCATGATACTTCTCTGTGTGCTTTCAATGGATCTCATTTATTAACCGTGCGTATGCACCAGTTGGTGCACAGAAGGTGCACATGAAACAATTAGTAATTCTTTGAGCATGAGGAGATTTACGATCACGTTTGTTAATAAATAAGCAGCAAAACATTTTTGGTCTGTTGCATTACCTTGCATAGTAGTCGCCGCTGTTGATTCATTCAAGTTTTCTGCTATTTGTGATGTTGGTTGAGATGCGTCAACAAATTGTCACATTCCCATTACATTTCATTCAGTATTTACAAAGGCTCTACACGGCGATTGTCTGTGTCAAGATGATCTCCTTTCTTTTAAAATCCAAAATGTTTCCTTTTCACACAAGCGAAGGCTTTGTGTTGTCTTATAAGTCTACTTTTCCTCGTCGTCATGATCTTTGTTGCATTCTTGATGTAAATCCCTGGCGCCAACCAGAGACGACGTGTATTAGCGAAAAACAAATCGTTGATTAAAAATAACATGCGGAAAATAGGATGTTAGGAATTATGAGTATGAAATTGTCAATTATATTGATAAAACTGATCAAAAACTTGATGTGTGGCCAGCACCAATTTATTGTCCTGTACACAAGTCCAGCGCCAATGTCGATGTCGTTGGATCGCGTAGCAGTCATATCAATAAAATAAATGGATGTATTGTTACACCTCTAGTCAAAACACCCATCCATCCATCCACCCATCCATCCATCCATTTCTGAACCGCCCATCCTGACGAGGGTCATGGGCTGGAGCCTATTCCAGCTGTCATTGGGCTTTAATTAATCTACCATGCATGTTTTTGGAATGTGGGAGGAAACAGGTGTGAAATAAATAGGAATCAATCATAAAGTTGATAAATGAACATGTAACATCACTTTTACCTTTACTGATGACTCTTGATGGTGATGAGAGAAGTCAATCTATCCTGTCCATCTGTCCATCCACTCATTAAAGCATCCACCAATTCAGTCATTCACCATTTATCTCGCTAGCTAGCTAGCTATCAACAATCTATCCATCTGTCTGTCTGTCCGCACTCATTCATCTTTTCACTCATTCAGTCATCCCTGATGGAGGTGTAGCATTCCATATGATTGATGTCTGGCACGCAAGGGTTATGATGTTTCAATGAGTCGCCTTGAAAGAGTCCATTTTGGGCTAGTCTCTGAATTGCAGAGGTGCAAAATTACGGAATAGGTGCGTTCCTTGTAAATGCTTGCGTGCAGTGGTGTGTGTGTGTGTGTGTGTGCGTGTGTGTGTGTGTGTGTGTGTGTGTGTGTGTGTGTGTGTGTGTGTGTGTGATGCGTGTGTGTGTGTGTGTGTGTGTGTGTGTGTGTGTGTGTGTGTGCGTGTAAGCTGAAGAACCAGTGACACAAGACTGTGTCATAGTTCCTGTAAGCCACTGGGCTCCCAAAGTGTTGCAAATAAACATTCTTCCTCTGCTGTGTCAGTGCAGAGCCTTCGCCCACTCCTCCTGTAAAACACAGCTCCTAATCAAAACCAAAACAGCCTTTTGTTCCCCAGCAGTTTGGAGACCATGGCTTGGTGCTGAGGGACGACTCGAAGAAGGCATGTTGCGGTCCTGCCCTTCTCAATGACATGGGCCAGCTACATAATGATGGAGAACATTTTTGCAGACATGACACACACGAGCATGCGTGTCAACTGGCACTGGCAATCACCTTCACTGCACATCTTGTTTTCAAAATCAACGCCGCGGGGGCACCGAGGCTGACCACAGACGTCGTACGGATTGCTCAGTGTGCCTGAGTGCTGCGTTTGCATTCCCAGTCTGATTCACTCTGTGCACACTCACAATGGAAAAGCTGTATCTGGACGTTTGCAGAGAGCAGCAGGAGTGGGCTGGGTCCCTGCTCACCCAACGCTCTTCGTCCTTCTCGCTTGGCCCGCCACACTTGGAGCGCTTGAAGCCGAATTGAAAAATGCTGTCCTTGAAGCTGGAGCCTGATGCCCCCCGAGTGGCGAGGCTCCCTTTCCTGTGAGGTCTCTTGCGGCAGGTCGCCGGATGATGAAATGATGGAGGTGATAGGAGGCCACGGCCATTGTGACGCTGCGTGGCTCTCACTCTGGAACTACCATCTGCCCAAAAGGTCACTTGCTCAGAGACCATTCTCATGCACTCTGCCTTGCAGCTGCTGCCTACACACACACACACACGCACACACACACACACACACACACACACACACACACACACACACACACACACACACACACACACACACACACACACACACACACACACACACAAACTGAGTATGTGTGCAAACACCGAGTTTGTCATGTAAACAAATTCAATTCCAAAAAATTAATCCCAACTAATTTTATGGCTGTATCTCTTTTTATATATCAATCTCATCTTCCCATCTGTCCATCCATCCAATATACGAGCCGCATGATCATCTCCCAACCCAATGATAGTGGGTTCAATCCCTTGTGCCCAGGTCAAAGTGGCCTTGAGCAAGATAATGAACCTCATGTGCTCCTGATGTTTTGTGACATCAGTGAGTGGATGAGGTGTCAGTGTTGAAGTTCCTTGTAGGTGGAAAAGTGAAAGCTTGTTTACCATTTACCAAACATCTATGCATCATATATCCTTCGAGCCATCCGTCCACCCACCTACCCACCAAACATCCCATCCATCCATCTATCCACCCATCCATTAATCCAAGAATACTTGGGTGTTGGATATTTCCGTCCTCTCAACCCAATGCCCAAAGCTTGGTTTTCAGTTCATGCCCGTTCTGCCCACTCTGTCCTTCCCATCCACGATGAGCGCGAGCAGCCCGCTGTTCAGTGCGCCGACCTAAACCAAATCTGGCATTCTCTCAATTCAGGCCGCCTTTAAATTGGAGCCCACTCCACTCAACAGGCAAACAGGCTTCCATGATTCAGAGAGGAATTTTAATATGAAGCTGCTGTGCTGTATCATCAGCTGTGATATAACTGTTCAAGCAAGAGTCATAAACACCTTGAGATATAAAAATGTCACACTCAGCGAATGGGACTGTGTCACCTCCTTGTCATACAGTCCCACCTATTTTCTAGGTTTAATTCAAACCAAAAGCAGCCATTTTTGGGGACATTTCTTCATTTGTTTGGCCTCCTCATACTCTGATCCCCCACCTGCCTTTACCCTCTGGTCGTCCAGTGACAGTGTTGTTGTTTTGGATGGCGGCCTTCTCCCCATGACTGCCTGCTCGCCGCCTGGCAGGGACGTGTGTCAAAGGTGGCTGCAGTAGAACAGACTGTGGGAACAGCCGGTTAGCCTCCGCTGGTCCCCTGCTCCCCAACCAGAGGGGCAGCCATCAATCCAGCTCTCCCCCTGCCTCTGTGCACACACTGCAGCACAAACACACAAATGCCCAACCAAACACGCGCGCGCACACACACACACACACACACACACACACACACACACACACACACACACACACACACACACACACACACAAAGCCGACAAGGCTCACACCCTCTCCCAATAATCCTCGGAAGCAATTTCATCTCGACTCGGGTGGCGGCCCATTGTCGCCAGCGCCTTCAATCTTTCCTTATTAACTCTCGCTTTGTCCCGCATCCGAGCTTCTGGACTCATCTCTCCTACATTCCGATCGGAGCTGCTCCCAGCACTCCCGGGCAACCTCCATTCGCTAATCCCGCCGCCGCCCCCACCCCGAGGAACTCTCACTGTTTTTTTTTCTTCCCTAAACCTGCCGATCACCTACTCACACAGTAAGGTAGTGGCATTAACTCCATTGCTTTTCTGAAGGCTGGAGTGTGAAGGCGGGGTGGGTGAAGTAGGAGGCGGCCACAAAGTGACTCCAGCCCAGACAATTAGAACAATGAGCCGGGCCAGTAGGGTGCTAACTTGCTGCGTCACGCCTGGACGGTGGGGCATTTTGTCACTTTAATGAATTATCCATCAGGCCAGGGCCACATCGCAGGCTGCGCACGGAGAGGCCAGCAGGGACCCAGACACTAAGTCGGTATTTATTACACTGCCTTTGTCACTAATTGAGCTAATTATCACTGACTCTTCAGCACTCCCACAGGCATCGCCCCAGCGATCCTCCACTCTCTCAGCCTCCAACTCTCCCATCACACTTTCATGCCTACCATTTGAACTCTGCCTTCTCTCTTCTTTCTGATATTTTCTCCCCCATCTTTGTTTTTATCCTCACCATCAAATATTTGAGCAAGTAGGAATATTACATTCTAAACCAACTAAGCCCTGAAAAAAAGAAAAGAAGAAAATATTGATGTGATGCTCCGACCTGCGGCTCTATATCCAATCAAATCTTCACAAAACAACCAGTCGTTGCTCTGAGGTGCAGCTGCACAGATGCTCTCCTGATGTCGTTGCCTCTGCTGTGCAAGCTGACCCTGTGACTGCTCCTTGCTGTGAAGGAGAAAGTCCTGTGCTTTTCAGACTCGTGTGGTTAATCACATTGCCGAGGGTTGAAGGGAACTCTTGCTTTGCAACATTATTATTATTTCGATTTCTGCATGAAAATGAAGCAAAAACGTTCAGTTCAGTGCCGTGAAAGTCGATGCTGTGCAAGGTTAAGGTAGATGTAGCTGGGCCTTTTTTCAGCAGCGAGCTCAGATGCAAACATGTTTTGTGAGCATTGCTGATGATCATCGGATTAAGCTCCGGACACCCAGGGACAGATTTAGCTGCTCATTTGGTTGAGTATGAAAAACAACAAAAAAAAGACACCAAACATGGAATGTGGACATTTAGGAACTAATTGAAAAATATAGACTTTATTGTTCTATCATACAATGCAAAAAACAACTGCCAGCTACATCACTTGTATTCCCTATTCGCATCTTACTATCGCAGTATAAACCCATTAGAAATAAATATTTGTATATTTACACTGATAAAAACAGGCGTGTATTCAGTGCATGGCAAAACACAATAAGCGGCAATGTGACTGAATCTTCTTTGTAAAATTTCTGTGACAGCTACGTCACTCCGGAAATGATCAGAATACAAAACAGTGACAGTGAAGGTAGGGACATTTTCTCCAGCATTGACAGGTGCAGACATCATTCAGCAATGACTTCATTATAAATATATTCCTCTATTTCGATATTTACAACATTTTGGTTCTCTTAGCTGATGCACAATATATGATGTCGGATTAATTCTTTAAAATAAAGAAAGCACCCAGTATTCTCCGTTTTTGCCCATTTGGAACTGGTCTGGTTCGCTAGAGTGTCGATTCGGGGCTCATTTTAAACACATTGTGATTGTGCGGGGGTCACATTTTCACACAACGCTTCAGTTTGTTCCCATTTACTTAGTTCCTGTTTTCCTTGGTGCTCACCTGTCCCAGTCATTTAACATTTGGTCCGTGTTGCAGCGATCAGATCCGGACTAAACTGGAGGTGCTACTCCATATGAATTTGTTCAAGTGGGCTGCGACCAAGTGATTTCAGTCAAAGAAATGAAACATTTGGAAAAGAAGGAACAACCCTTTCCAAGTACATAGAAACAAATACGACTGTCAAGTTTTTGCCTGACTCACGATATTCACCCTCCACTCCCATTCTCTTTTCAGAATACTTTTCAACATTAAGTGTAAGAAATAAGCATTTCTAGTCTTCTATACCCTGTTGATACGTTTGTGCTTTTGTCCACTGATGGACTTTTTGGGTTGATAAGATTCCCTGTCAGTTTACCCCAAGCAACCATCTGTTTACAGTATTTGTGACTTTCTCTGCCAGCTACTTCATTTCTAACAAGTTCTGCTTCTAACTAAACACCTCCGCCGCCTCCATTATCATAGACACTGGTGTAATGTTCGAGTACTGGTGCAGTTCAGGCAGCTGACGTGACAGCACCAGTGGAATGTGCAGTTACACCGCTCCGTAACACTCTCGGCCCGGGTCTTAAACCCACGCCCACAGCACAGCAGCTCACATCCATCCAGACCTGGAGAAGTGCTGTTGCAAGTTCTACCCGAAGTTCCCAAAGTGCCACTCTTGCCATTGTAGGAGCAGAAGTTTGGTGATTTCTCAAAATAGACCAGGTCCATCGCGGAAGGGGGTTTGTGAGCCGGGTTTTCTGGTTCCAGGTGGCGAGGGTCTGCCCTGTGGGACGCGCGATTGCTGCCCTTGTTGGCGTAAACAACTCGGGAGGCCCCATCAAAACGGTCCTTCAGGAAATCTCCCACAGCCCGGAAGCTTGGGAGGCGCATCCAACAGGTCCGCACGGTGCAAGAGCCTGACATACCGTGACACTTGCACTCCTGGCGCATCTCTGAGGACACTGTCTGCAATGAGAAAACCCAAAGTCACGACTGGCTGGGAACCTTCACAACACACGGTTTGCCCATTTCTCCCTCGGTCCGTACCATTCTTCCGGCCTCGTTATTGTGCAGGTTGGTGAGGTAGCGCAGATCTCGCCCTCTCTCACTGGAGTCCACAAATTCCCGACTGAACATCCTGCCGAAGTCAACGTTGTCACTGCAGCCCCCCCAGTGCCAGTCTGGCCCCCCGGGACCCCTGCGCCGGTAATCGCACGTACACGATTCAATAGCCCCTTCTGAACATGATCGAGCCACCGCATGGGTCACCCCCGCGCTGGTGATAGCAAACACAAAGGCTGTCTCTCTGCAACCTAAGAAACAAAAGCAAGACCAGGGTTGATACATTCCTTGCCAGTCTAGTTGACTAAGGCTCAGACTAAAAGTGGACAGATCATTCACAACTACTGGATCAAGAACCTAAATAGAAAACCCACTTGGAGAACATGCTAACTCCACACAGAAAGGATTGAGCTAAGATTCAATTCCAGAACCCTCACTGCGAGCCAACAGTGCCAACCGTGGGCTCACTTTACTCCCGTCCAAATCCCTTTCATCAGTGAAATATGTCGTGAAAAGGCCATTTTAATATGGACAAGGGATTCCATTTCATCCTCCCCAAAGTCTTTCAAAGATCGCCTGGAGGGTAAGACAAGAGAGGCTTACCACGGTTGACAATTTTGCCAAATATCTCTGGGCTGTGGGTGGTCGGGCAGTTCCAGCGGCGGTTACGGAACTGCCACTTGCATTCTTTTATGGCTGTCTGCAGTCCAGCCGTGATGGCGTGCAAGATGCCAGGATTCTGCCGAATCAGTCGACGCTGCCGGCGACTCAGTAGGGCCAGGCTCGGGTCCAGGACCAACTGCACATTCTTGGAGTTGGTGAGAAGGTTGGACGAGGAGGCCACGTTGACAATGCCCCTGGCCCAAGCAAAAAGACAGGTCAAATCAAGAGTCACAGTGACGGTACATGGGATGCTTCAACTTCGTCTCTCTTCAGAACAAAATAACTATGTAGTACACCACTCACAAAAGCGTCGGGATATTCTGCTTTCGTGGTGAAATTTGAGGACAAATCTAAAATACATGATAACATTTACACACAAACTTGTTGGAACCATTTTGTGTTTCAGCACATTTTTTGCACAACTTAATGTTCTTGAAGCAAGAGATGTTCCAGTCTCTCTGTATCTCTGGTGCAATCTGCTGATGACAGTCAAAGCTCAGTGGCCACGTCCTGTTTGAAAGGTTTCAAATGGTGGGATGCTGTTGTTTAGACCTTAGCTGTCATCCTGCTCTCATGATGTCAAAAAGGGAACAGCGTGAAGAGGACTCCTTAAACACCAGTTTGAATTGACAGTTTTGGCTCCATTCATGCAAGATCGCACACCTATTGTGAATGCTGCCGTTCTGGCGTGAGATGGATTTGGGTTGATTTTGGTTTGGATTCGATTTTACTTTTTTTCCCCCCCATCGTACGTGTCTGTCTCGCTCAGTTGTTGTGTCTACCTGTGCTGGTCAGCCCGGTCCTTTCTGTTTACCAATCAGCTCCCTCGGCCGCTTGTGTCTTGTCTACATGTTTCTCATTGTTTTGCTTTGATTTCACTTTCCTGGTTTCTTTCTGGCCTTGTCACTTCATTGTTTGTGTTAGCGGACTCTGTCCGAGTCAAGTCTTTCTTCCTTACTGATCATTTTGCCACCTTGAACTTTGCCATTTTGGACTTCGATTGGTTTAGTATTTTTGAAGAATCCAAGTACTGTACTTTGTTTGCTTACGACTTGCCCTGGGTCCCTGCTTTTCTGCATTTGGGTCCACCTTTTTGCCACCACCACAACAACCGGGAACCGTGACAGCTTCTTGTTGGAGAACAGCAAGCTGTGCTAAAGTGCTGAAACACTCAATAATTGGACTCTGCAAATTGTAGAGATGGTCAAATTTCTTTCACCCCTAAAAATCATAGTGTCTTTTGGGTTCATCAAAAAATTTCACCTGAAAGCCAAAAACTGTGTCCCGAACTCTTTTTAGTAGCGTTATAAACAGAAATCTTGGGACACTTCAATGACGGTTGGACTCCAAGCGTCATCTTTATCTTCTTCTCAAGACATTTGTGGCAATTTTATCTTTGTTGAAACAGGTTGGGGAAGACCACACTGAATGATGTGTCCCATTGCATACCGACTTTTACTTTGTGTGGGTGGAATAACAAGGCCATTAGGCGCATTTGTAATGGAATACAACAGATATTGTGCTGGAAAATCTACAGTATTTCCATCTGATGCACTTTAACATCTTGTGGAAAGTCCTTTCCTTCCCTGACTGGAAACCAGCAACACAGCACAGGCGGGAGCAGCTATTCATTTGCTGATAGGTCTAGTGGTGTGGAGTCCCAAAACTTTTGTTCAGATCAGACTTAATGCAGTACTTAGATCTACAGACTGTCTGCAGAATTGTACAGTTTCCACTCCGCTGTCAGAGCGACATAAATTCAAAGCATTGATGTATGTTACTCGATATTTATTTGATGAGCCTGGATAACAAAGTCTTCTTGTGGGGGATCCTATTTGGCGGTGAAATAAATTCATATTTGATCAAACTTTGACACCAACTGTGGTTTTTTTTTGTTGTTTTTTTTTAAATGCCAAAATGTGAGGGGCCAGGGGAAAACGACAGTATAGAAAATGCAATATAATGCCAACACATTATGAATAAATGAAATGTTTAGAGAACACCTGCAGAAGTCTGGAAACAGACAAGCCGGTGTATACGTTCACGTTTTGGAGCCTGTGACAAAACGATGTGGCACGCTGCACCGGCAAATTAGTTGCCTTCTTTTTTTCTTCTTCTTCTTCTTCCTCTTCCTCTGCGCGCACAGAGTCAACGCAAGTGGGCATGCACTTACCACCAGCGGCCACTGTTGTTGACTGCCCCGGTGCCGGAGAGCGACGACACCAGCAGGATGCAGGCGGCTTTTACTCCGAGCAGAAGCGCCAAGTTCCTCATCGTACTGTCACCCACTTTGGAAAATGACATCCCACACCCCATAATTTCGTCACTTCAGCGCATTCCTTAAGTCATGATGCAACTTGCAAATATCCATCTTTCCGCGAGGTGTATAAACTCACCAGTCCGACGATAAGTTAATTGAGCCGAATGTGAGCTGTTGAGGTGAGACAGGTTGCAGGGTGATGTCGACGAGTCCACGCATGCGAGGATGCTGCACTGCTCCTCACTGTGTCCCTCCGAATGATGCTCTGCGCGGTGCATGGAGCGCGTGGGACAGTCCCGCCGACTTGATCCCCTCGGCGGTGACAGCAGATAGGCAACGCATTCTTCTCTTATTGAGTGCTACGAGGAGGAATAAAAAAGGGATTTGCTGCTCACATCTCTGTGTTTTTTCTCTCTCTTCCTCGGAGCCTTTTCAATAGGATTGGAGGGAGGGATACTTAATGCTCTTCATAGGGCGCACAATGAATAAGGAAACACAACTGTGCAGAAAAGACGGCGGGGGTGGGGGCGTCGGGGGCGTCGGGTGAGGGGAGTTTGAATTGACAGTTTTGGCTCCATTCATGCAAGATCGCACACCTATTGTGAATGCTGCCGTTCTGGCGTGAGATGGATTTGGGTTGATTTTGGTTTGGATTCGATTTTACTTTTTTTCCCCCCCATCGTACGTGTCTGTCTCGCTCAGTTGTTGTGTCTACCTGTGCTGGTCAGCCCGGTCCTTTCTGTTTACCAATCAGCTCCCTCGGCCGCTTGTGTCTTGTCTACATGTTTCTCATTGTTTTGCTTTGATTTCACTTTCCTGGTTTCTTTCTGGCCTTGTCACTTCATTGTTTGTGTTAGCGGACTCTGTCCGAGTCAAGTCTTTCTTCCTTACTGATCATTTTGCCACCTTGAACTTTGCCATTTTGGACTTCGATTGGTTTAGTATTTTTGAAGAATCCAAGTACTGTACTTTGTTTGCTTACGACTTGCCCTGGGTCCCTGCTTTTCTGCATTTGGGTCCACCTTTTTGCCACCACCACAACAACCGGGAACCGTGACAGCTTCTTGTTGGAGAACAGCAAGCTGTGCTAAAGTGCTGAAACACTCAATAATTGGACTCTGCAAATTGTAGAGATGGTCAAATTTCTTTCACCCCTAAAAATCATAGTGTCTTTTGGGTTCATCAAAAAATTTCACCTGAAAGCCAAAAACTGTGTCCCGAACTCTTTTTAGTAGCGTTATAAACAGAAATCTTGGGACACTTCAATGACGGTTGGACTCCAAGCGTCATCTTTATCTTCTTCTCAAGACATTTGTGGCAATTTTATCTTTGTTGAAACAGGTTGGGGAAGACCACACTGAATGATGTGTCCCATTGCATACCGACTTTTACTTTGTGTGGGTGGAATAACAAGGCCATTAGGCGCATTTGTAATGGAATACAACAGATATTGTGCTGGAAAATCTACAGTATTTCCATCTGATGCACTTTAACATCTTGTGGAAAGTCCTTTCCTTCCCTGACTGGAAACCAGCAACACAGCACAGGCGGGAGCAGCTATTCATTTGCTGATAGGTCTAGTGGTGTGGAGTCCCAAAACTTTTGTTCAGATCAGACTTAATGCAGTACTTAGATCTACAGACTGTCTGCAGAATTGTACAGTTTCCACTCCGCTGTCAGAGCGACATAAATTCAAAGCATTGATGTATGTTACTCGATATTTATTTGATGAGCCTGGATAACAAAGTCTTCTTGTGGGGGATCCTATTTGGCGGTGAAATAAATTCATATTTGATCAAACTTTGACACCAACTGTGGTTTTTTTTTGTTGTTTTTTTTTAAATGCCAAAATGTGAGGGGCCAGGGGAAAACGACAGTATAGAAAATGCAATATAATGCCAACACATTATGAATAAATGAAATGTTTAGAGAACACCTGCAGAAGTCTGGAAACAGACAAGCCGGTGTATACGTTCACGTTTTGGAGCCTGTGACAAAACGATGTGGCACGCTGCACCGGCAAATTAGTTGCCTTCTTTTTTTCTTCTTCTTCTTCTTCCTCTTCCTCTGCGCGCACAGAGTCAACGCAAGTGGGCATGCACTTACCACCAGCGGCCACTGTTGTTGACTGCCCCGGTGCCGGAGAGCGACGACACCAGCAGGATGCAGGCGGCTTTTACTCCGAGCAGAAGCGCCAAGTTCCTCATCGTACTGTCACCCACTTTGGAAAATGACATCCCACACCCCATAATTTCGTCACTTCAGCGCATTCCTTAAGTCATGATGCAACTTGCAAATATCCATCTTTCCGCGAGGTGTATAAACTCACCAGTCCGACGATAAGTTAATTGAGCCGAATGTGAGCTGTTGAGGTGAGACAGGTTGCAGGGTGATGTCGACGAGTCCACGCATGCGAGGATGCTGCACTGCTCCTCACTGTGTCCCTCCGAATGATGCTCTGCGCGGTGCATGGAGCGCGTGGGACAGTCCCGCCGACTTGATCCCCTCGGCGGTGACAGCAGATAGGCAACGCATTCTTCTCTTATTGAGTGCTACGAGGAGGAATAAAAAAGGGATTTGCTGCTCACATCTCTGTGTTTTTTCTCTCTCTTCCTCGGAGCCTTTTCAATAGGATTGGAGGGAGGGATACTTAATGCTCTTCATAGGGCGCACAATGAATAAGGAAACACAACTGTGCAGAAAAGACGGCGGGGGTGGGGGCGTCGGGGGCGTCGGGTGAGGGGGGGCAGGGCAATCCGTAGCGCTGCGCATTTGTGGAATCTCCTGCACCCAATCCACGCTGGAATACTTTCTCCTGTGTTGTTCCACGCAGGCTTGCAGGAAAGGTGACGTCCGGTGCTCCCGAGTTGGTGTCACGGTGCGCGCAGCAGTCATTCGGCGCAATATGAGCTTTCGGAGGGGGGCAATGCCCTTTTTAACCCGAGTGGTTGGCTTCGCCAAGCAACTCCCTTACCGCATCTCCTCCTCTTTGAAATTTTTATACACGCGCGCACTCTCCCTCGTTCTCGTTTTGGGCCGGCTTTAGTGGAAAGCCTCGATTGTGTGTGATTAGGGTGGCAATGATTTTACGCGCACGGCAAGTCAACAAGTGGCGCATGCACCACGCTCGAGTGTTGAACTTTTTTTCTTCCCTTCAAATGCAATGTTTGATGTGAATAAGTCATTCCACCATCTGGCCTGCAGACCTCCCTGGGTGCACGTGTGAGCGCATGCATTTCTTCAGTCCTGTCAATGTCAGTGCCCCCGCATTTCTTCATACGGGACGCGTGGGTGCGTGCGAGTTTGTGCGCGCGAGTGTGTGACACTTATCTGCTAATTTGCATACTTCCATATTAGTGTTTCAGAGGTAGAATAATCTCTGTGATGACAGTCAAAAGGAAGTGGGCCTTTGTTAAGAAGCTTTAACGACATTTCTAGTGCGCTCCGATATATGAAGGTGCCCGAACGGGGCTTCCTGGAGCAGTCATGCGACACCGAGCAGATTAGCTGCAATCCGGATCAAGGGGGAGCCTTTTATATACAAATCAACTTCAAATCACTTTTTAAGCCACTTACATATACACGCCAAAGCAGAATGCTAATGCACTTTTCATTGCTGCAGTTTAGGGAATGGAAGGAGATTAGATGAATTGGTGTCACTCGTCAATGCGAGTCGTGCTCGGAAGGGGGGTGTTTAACCGAGAGGAACGTTGTGCATTGGCAGCATACCGTCTATTCTGCTCTGTTTCGTTTTGCTCAAAGTCGCATCTAACTTTCAACATGTGCATTGTGAGTTCAAGAGTTTGCTTACTTTAATTCCTCCTTACTCACCTGTTGGGTTTACAATAGATCCATAGCTGCATCCTGCAGTGATGCATTGCAGCCACATTTGAACGAATCGCTAATCTCACAAAACTACACGATTCCCCTAACGCTGGGATAGGGAACTCCGGTTCCTCGAGAGCCATATCCTGCCTGTTTTAGGTCCCTCCCTACTCCAACACACCTGATTCAAACGATCAGCTCATCAGCAAGCTCCGTCGAAGGCCTGAACAATTGAATCAGGTGTGTTGGAGTAGGGAAGGACCAAAGACAGGCAGGATATGGCTCTCGAGTAACTGGAGTTCCCTACCCCTGCCCTAACGTATGCATTCTGCATGTGAAATAAAGACTTTGGGGTGACAAAGTGAAGTTGTCGCTGTGATGGAGGTGGTTGGGGGTGTGCGGTGGGTGGGTGTGCGGCTTAGGGGTGCATTGTCTGCGAGGAGCCGCCTGCCTGCTGCCGCCGCTGCTGCCTCCCTCGTACAGTGGCAACTTCTCCCGTGCACCAGCTCGCCCCTCCCGCCCCTTCATCCCACAAGCCACATCCATCAATGACTCTCCCTCAGTGTTTCATGGACAAAGTATATCCACATCCATTCATGCAAGGCGTTTTATTGTTCTAGATTTTAATGATACGGAGTGGAGCAACTGCACTTGTGCGTAAAAGTGGAGAGAAACTTTTAGGCTCAGACGCAAGAAGTCAAACCACATTCATGGAGTTATTTATTTTGCTTATACTGTATTTATATCATAAATTATAGACTTTATCAAAGATTTGTGTGGAAATGCAACTATGAAACAAAATGAGAGAAATGCGGAGAAAAATATGACACTAAAATTCCAAATCCAATCAAAAAAAGGCATGTCTGGATTATAAAGGTTGAGATACAGACTGTTTCTGTCACTTCTATTTGGTGAAGCTGGTGTTTTATGATTATTATTATTATTATTATTATTTAATAATGATAATAATAATAATAATAATAATAATAATAATAATAATAATAATAACAATAATAATAGAGTGCGGTGAGTGTTTCCTATCCAAAATCTAAGTTGCGTTGTCTTAAATCGTTGGGTTGGGTTCTGCAACACAAGTGTGCGGTTATTCATTTGAATCTGTTGTTTTTTTCTTATTGTTTCACCTCCCCTCCATCCATCCTTATCTGATCCACTTATCTTCACGAGCGTCGCAGGCGTGCTGGAGCCTAACCTCGATGTCTTCCAGCACCCTAAAGTGGTTGCCAGCCAATCGCAGGGCACATATGGACGAACAATCATTCACATTGACAATCACAGCTACAGACAGTTGAGAGTGTTCAGTTCACCTCCCATGCAAGTGTTTGGAAACCGGAGAAAACCCACGCAGGCACGGGGAGAACATACAGGAAGGCCACCCCGTTTGTTATCTCCAAAATGTTATTTTGCAGAGCATGTTTTGACATAATAATTGGGCAGTCCAACTTCAATAGTGGGCAATATTTTGCCAACAGCCGGCCCTCTGTAACCCCCCCCCCCCCATCCCAGCACCACCACCATCACACCCACACCCCACCGACTCCTCCTGGCTGCTCCAGTGCGCATCGGCTCCTCGCTTCTCGTCTTCACTCTCCTGTCGTTTAGCGCCACTGCATTGATACTAAATCCTCTTCTCCAAAAACAGTCATTTGTCTTTATACAAACGGGAAAACTTCACCAGTGATTTAATGTCACGGCGCGACAGAAAATGGAACTACCAAACAAACTTCGCTTGCGCCGGTGCCCGATTTTGGCGGCAGCATTGTTATTACTACCTGCCTTGACGTAAGTGCGCTTGAGAACTATTCTAAATTATCCGGAAACTGTCGGCTTTAAAACACATTTATTGATGGAAGTTGGCGTTTCGTAATTCTTTCGATTTCATTTTTTAAATAAAAAATGTCACACAAATTTGCGTGTAACAAACCAAACACAAACACACCACGTGTGCATTGATTGATCTTTGTATATAAAATTGAATTTCCTTTACTGTTAATCAAGCTTTTTATTTATTATCTAATTGTTTCTATCTATCTATCTATCTATCTATCTATCTATCTATCTATCTATCTATCTATCTATCTATCTATCTATCTATCTATCTATCTATCTATCTATCTATCTATCTATCTATCTATCTGTCTATCTGTTTATGCAAAACTGCTACATCAGATTGTACTGTGTGAAATCAGTTGAAAGCGCTTGGTGTTGAATGAGTTGAAACATTTCTGAACGCATCCTCACTCATTGCATTATCATCACCTCGGCGGATTTGCACATGGGGTACAAGTTGAGTGTATGTGCTGGTGTGGCCGCAGTGTGCTGTGTAATGACATCCTCAGCCTGAAGGTGGCAGGAGATCCGGTGCTAACCCCCAACTCGGTGTGTCTGCGCCTGGCTGGCCTGAGTAAGCGTCAGATGAGGATGTGCGTGCGTCGACCCGACGTGACGGCCTCGGCTCTGCAGGGCATCCAGGTGGCCATCCACGAGTGTCAGCATCAGCTGCGGGACCAGCGGTGGAACTGCTCGTCCCTGGAGGCCCTTGGCAAGCTGTTGCACCACAGCAACATCCTCAACAGAGGTGAGAGACGCATAAAGTGACGTAGCCTACTAAAAAAAAAACAAAAAAAAACAAACAAACAAAAACTGTGGATGGATGAGAATATTTCACGTATTTTTTGTATTTGCAGCTTCAGAAGAATGAGTTGATCTCCTTTTGATCAGAATCCAGAATCGATCCACTTTAAACCTGTGATTCACAACCGGCTGTGCTGTATGAAATGATCCAATTTTACAGAATTAGTCCTAAAATCATTTACAATATTGTTCATCTGTCTAAGCCATGGCGTGACAGGCAAAACAATTAATGCTCTTCCACTAGATGGCAGGTGGTACATAATGTACATAATGACCCGTGTATCCAAATTGTTTGTATTTGAAAACAGTCAAAAAGTCATCAAAATTGTAAGTATATCATTACTAGAAAATAGTTAGCCTACTTATTACCGTGGCCATGAGTTAGATCAATGCAACACTGTACCTTTGAGAGGCATGTTTTCGATGACATATTTTTTTTTCCGTTCCCATAAGCACTATGAAAGTTGATAAAAGTATTTTGTGTGCAGGGAAGTTTTTTTGTTGTTGTTGCAGATTTTCAAAATGAGTACAGTGCTGATACTTTTTAACTTTTGTACTTTTACATTTCAGAGTTTGTAGTGTCTCTTTAGCGAAGGTGTGGAATCCATACATCTACCTTTAACAGGGTCACTTATTATTACTTGTGTTATTTCTTTGGGTGGTGCGGTGGTCAACTGGTTAGCATGTCCACCTCACAGTGCAGCAGTGCAGGATTCGATTCCGGCTCCGGCCTTCCTGTGTGGAGTTTGCATGTTCTCCCCGTACCTGTGTGGGTTTTCTCCGGGTACTCCTGTTTTATTCCACGTTACAAAAACACGCATGGCAGGTTAATGTAACACTAAATTGTCCCAAGGTGTGATTGTGACCGAGAATGGTTGTTCGTCCGTGTGCCCTGCCATTGGCTGGCAACCAGTTCAGGGTGTCCTACTGCCTGAAGACAGCTGGGATAGCCTCCAGCATCGTCACGATCCTTGTGAGGATAAGTGGATTAGAAAATGGATGGATGGATGGATGTATTTATTTATTTATTTTTGCAAATGTACCTCTAGTTTTACTTGAGTACAGAGCGTAAGAATCGTTAACATCTCTGTTAGAGGACACAAAGACCATCAATCTGTTTTTAATCCATCACAGTAATGGGCAGTGCAAGCCGACGCATTTAGTAGCACATTAGTACAGAGGACACAGGCTGCATTCTTAGCCACTCTTCCATGGAAGCCCGACACAAAGAATGAGACTGAGGATTGTTTTGGTCATGTTTATACCATCGTGCATTGAGACATGACTTCATTTCTGTGATGCAGTTTTATCTCAATACTTATATTTGAATACATCTCTCCATATTGAAATGAATGGAAATGACATTAATCCATTCCAGTCTTATAAAAACACACACACACACACACACACACAGACACACACAGAGAATGCAGAGATTTAAACGGATCGTGCATCATTGTTAGAATTCATTGTAACTCCTTTTGATATGCTCAACTTGGCCACAGAGGGGCACAAAGACGGGTTTCACAGCTACTTTAGTGACTCAGCAAGCTACAGTAATATAAGTTACTTTTCGCGCAGATAAATGCTGCAATAAAATTCCTTATGTGAGTGATGTCATATTGACTGTGTGCATGTGTTGCTGCACCTTTTGTTTCTAAATTTCCAGTGCTTAAGATGGTGCTCCTGGAGGGCCGCTATCCTGCATGTTTTCCATCTTTGCCTGTTGTAACACACCTGATTCAAATGAACAGCTTCCGCAGAACTTGCTGATGATCTGATCAGTTGAATCAGGTCTGTTACAACAGGGAGAGATGGAAAACATGCAGGATAGCGGCCCTCCACGACTGGAATTGCCCACCCCTGGCTTAAAGTGTTAAAACATAGCCACGATAGAGGCTGTGGCGTTTCCCATTATGTGTTAGCATTTAGCTAGCAGACTTCAATGAAAAGTCATGTGGTTGTCTTAAATAGACAAGGTGCAATTCTGTAAGTTAGGGCTTACGTTGTGTACTGCATCTGTTCCCACAAGGTTTTCGTGAGAGTGCTTTTTCGCTAGCCTTGTTAGCAGCGGGCGTGGCACACTCCGTGGCCTCGGCCTGCAGCCTGGGCAAACTGGGAGGTTGCGGCTCTGAAAGCAAGCGTCGGCGGAACGATGACAAGCTCCGGTTGAAGCTCATGCAGCTGCAGCTCCAGACACTGCAGAAAACCGGCCTGCCCACCCACCTTCGCGCCTCGCAGCATTCTGCGCGCTTCAAGCCCTTCCCAGATGAGCTCACCTCCTCGCAAGAGACTTGGGAGTGGAGGGGTTGCAACCATGACTTGCGTTTTGGGGAGCGTTTCTCCAGGGAGTGGCTGGACTCCCTGGGATCCCCGAGAGACATCCACGCTCGTATGAGGATACACAACAACCGAGTGGGACGCCAGGTGAGCAGGCAGACTTCTTCATGTAACTCTGGTCCTCAGATGCAAACGTCTA